TTTTTTTTTTTTTTTTTGACTTTTATTCTTTTTTTACTTAAACACCTTAGAAATACTAAATTTATTACGAAAATATATTTTTTGGAATAAACATATTGTTTTTTTTTTAAGATACCGCTGCATTATAGACCATTGGTTAAGAATATTGTTATACAATACTATTAATATCAATAAAATATAAACAATATTAATGTGTGTTGTTACCAATTCACATCATTGATAGTTATATCATGTATTTTTTTTATTTTTCTTATTTATATTTTAAAACTTCAGGCAGAAGAATATGTACCATTACCTAAAGGTGAAGTTCATAAAAAGAAAGAAGTTATTCAAGATGTTACTCTACATGATTTAGATGTTGCGAATGCACAACCTAAGGGAGGTCAAGACATACTATCTATGATGGGACAACTTATGAAATCAAAAAAGACAGAAATTACAGGTAAAATACCATTATGTAAAAAAAAATTACAATAATTTTGAGTTGAAATTCTTATTACTTCTATTTTTTTATAGATAAATTAAGAAAAGAAATAAATAAAGTTGTTAATAAATATATTGATCAGGGTATTGCTGAATTAGTCCCTGGAGTACTATTTATTGATGAAGTACATATGCTTGATTTAGAAACATTTACATATTTGCATAAAGCTTTGGAAAGTACAATTGCTCCTATTGTAATATTTGCTACTAATAGAGGTCATTGTACTGTGAGGTAAATTAATTGAAATAAATTTGTGCTTTTTTTAACTATACTGTTAGGACATGAAAAAACACAAATTTGCATCCAGTTGATAAGATAGATAGAGTCTATCTTAATGTGTCTAACTTACTAACAGCCTCTTAGTTGTCTTCTTTTGTAGCTCCTAATATATACACAAACTTATTTAAATTTTTATTTGATATTTTGTTAGAGGGACTGAAGATATTATAGCACCTCATGGTATTCCTATGGATTTGTTAGATAGATTACTTATCATCAGGACACTTCCTTATGATCGTGAAGAAATGGAAAGTATACTTAAACTTAGAGCACAAACAGAGGGTCATGTTATTGAAATAGATGCTCTACATTATTTGGCAGAAGTTGGAACCAAAACTACTCTGAGGTATAAATATATTCATTTCTTTAAAATACAAATGTGTATAAATGTTTTAATGTTTTAGCTTCGATGCGAAGCTGAGAAGGTATTGGTTTTACTAAGATGTGTTTTTTTTTGTGTCTGTTACCACTTTTTCTCAGCTCTCACCGAACCGATTTCTTTCAATGATACGTCAAAAAATCACAAATCGTATCTAGTCGAAGACATTACCCTTAAAAATTGAAAAAAATTCCCTCTTTCCCCGTAAAAGGGGGAAACCTCCAAAAAAATTACAAATTTAAAAATCGCTAAATTTAAAAAATTTTTCAATTTTTTTTACTTAAAAGTGCAATAACTTTTTCAAAAATAAACATATCAATATAATTCTTTTTTATATAGATGCATAATATCATTACCTTTCATTTGGTATATTTTTTTCATAAATTTAACCCTTAACCTGCCCACAAGGGGGGATTTAAAATGACAACTTTTTCACAAAAAATTAATTTTTTTAACTTAAATTTTGAAAATGTTCCGGAAGGTCTGACACTTTTATATATATCTTAAATTAAAGCTAATGTAATTTACTTTATTATGCGAAAAAAAAATTTCGGACTTTATTTTATCTTCACGGTGAAAATGGCTACCGAATGCTATTATTGTGTGAAAATTCTCGATTTTATTTTTTACATTTTTAACTTTATAATGCTATGACATATTGAAAAGTGTATGGATCAACATTATTTTTTTATGAGAAATAATATTTTTTAATAATCCCTTTTTCATTCTACATACTTTATCTTAATTAGGATATTAATAATGAACTAGCAGATAATGTAGCTTTTGGAATAATCCACCAATTTTTTAAAATTAAACAGTATCTAAAGATTTGCATCGAAGCGTTTTTTTTTGATAGTGATTTTAATCACTGTCAGATATCATTATACTTGATCCATCTATACTGTGCCGCGACCCCCCTGTGCTGGGTTTTTTATTAATACAGTGATGGGGAATATTTTTTTTTTTTTAGATTACTTATCTTTTAAGACCTATTATTGATGAGATTAATTTATTTTATTATTTTATCAAAGAAATAATTTAAATACAACTTCTTTTAAATATATTCATATCTTCTTCTTCTTCTCCTGGCCTTAATCCCCATTACTTGGGGCCAGCCTCCCTTATCCTAAACTTCCACTTAACACGATCTCTCACATCCTCTACGCTCACATCAGCTGTCCTCATATCGCATACAATAACATCTCTCCATCTCTTTTTTGGTCTTTCTCTACCTCTTCTTCCTTCAACATTCATTCTTACAACTGTTCTTACGGCTTCCGATTATTCTCTTCTCATAACATGACCAAACCATCTAAGTCTATTTTCTCTCATCTTATCCACAATTCATCATTCATTATCCTATCTTTTTTAGCCACTCCACTCATCCATCTAAGCATTCTCATCTCTGCTACACTCATTCTCTACTCTACTTTCTTATCAACCGCCCAACACTCTAACAACCATACATCATAGCTGGTCTCACTACAGTCTTTTAGAATTTACCTTTCAGCCTCATTGGAATTCTTTTATCGCATAAGACACCAGACACTTCTCTCCACTTCAACCACCCGCACTTAATCCTGTGTCTTATATTCTCATCAATACTACCGCTCTTTTGCACAACTGATCCTAAATACTTGAAACTTTCCACCTCTCCAATCATGTCCTTGCTTATTGTCACTGATCTCCTTATTTCACCTACCTCGTGTTCTCCTTTATCAATCTCGTACTTTATATACTCTGTCTTACTACTACTTATTCTTAAATCCTTTTCTTCAAGAGTTTGGTTGGGTTTTCTTCCACGCCTCTAGTCTTCGATTAATTTCCTCACTATTTTCTTCTTTTAACACTATATTGTCAGCAAACAACATGTACCACGGCACCTCTCCTTGTATTTCTCTAGTAATTTCATCCATTACTATAGAAAATAAGTAAGGGCTTAAAGTAGAACCCTGATGCACTTCTACTCTTACCCGAAAACCTTCTGTTACTCCTCCCACACGTTTTACTCTAGTATAACTGCCATCATATCCTCTATTATATTAATGTACCTTTTCGGGACTCCTTTTCTCAATAATGGCCACTTTAGAACCTCTCTCGGCACTCTATCATACGCTTTTTCCAAATCTATAAATATCATACAAAGCTTTTTCTTTTTTTTCCTAAACTTTTCTATTAGTTGCCTCACACTAAATAATGGCTTCATTGTTGACTTACTAGGTATAAATCCAAACTGGTTTTTAGATACTGATGTCTCATTCCTTATTCTCTTATCTATTACCTTTTCCCAAATTTTCATACTATGACTCATAAGCTTTATACCTCTAAAATTTCCACACTCCTGTATGTCACCTTTACCTTTAAATATTGGCACCACAATACTATTCCTCCATTCATTTGGAATTTTCCCTTCTAATAAGATTTTATTTAAAAGTTCCTTCAACCACCTTATGCCAACACCGCCTAATATTTTCCATACTTCTACTAGCACTTCATCTGGTCCTATTGATTTATTCTTTTTCATTGATGCCACAGTCTCCCATACCTCTTTCTCACTAATTAAATCTACCAGTCCCTCATTCCATGAGTTACCCTCTAACGTCTTTTTTGGATACTCCTCATTCAGTAATTTTTCAAAATACTCTTTCTACCTTTTTTTCACATCATCATCACTCGAGAGTACCCTATTATCAGCACTTTTTATACACCTTATATAATGATAATCTTTAGACCATTTCTCCCTTACTTTTGCAAGTTTATAGATTTCTTTTTCGTCTTTCTTTGTTCCTAACCTATTATACAACTCATCATACCTCTTTAACTTCACCTTACTTACTGCATACTTGGCTTCTTTGCACAAGCGTTTGTACTCCATCCAATCTTCTCTCTTTTTGCTCTTCTGCCATATTTTGAATTGCTTTATCTTACTTTCTATGATTTTTTGAACGTCCTCATCCCACCACCGGGTTTCCTTGTTTCCTGGCATTCTTCTCCTACTCTCACCAACAATCTCCTTTACAATATTCTTAACATAACTAGCAAATCTATTCCACACCTCATTTATGTCTCCTTCGACATTCCACACTGGCCTCTCTTTTACCGTCTTAACAAACTATTTCATTTTCCCCTTTCAATTTCCACCAACAGATTTTCGATTATTCCTTCTATTTTTGTATATTCTTTTCCCGGTACACCAAAAATCCATTACCATTAGTCTATGCTGTGTAGTTACACTCTCACCTGGGGGTCTATTTTTGAGCTTGGGCTAATCATTGGCGAATGTTTTAGTACACTAAAACATTAGATTATGAATTTAGTGCACTAATATAAATTCGTATTTTTGAATTTTATTTTTTACCAGTCTAAAAATCTTGCACTAATCGTACATCGTCTAATCTAATGTCATGTCAAACCAATAATTATTAGTGCGATATGTTAAATTATATTGGCTGTACTGTATTTTATATTAATTTTATAGTTAATACTTGATAATATTTATGATAACTACAAAATTCACCCATAAGAAATTTGTCACGAGTTTTTTGTCAGTATTTTTTATTTCAATTTGTGTAATGTTTTACAATGGAGGGGAAAAAAAGTCAATAAGTGTAACTTATGAACAAAAACAATTATTAATTGAATTTGTTCATAAGCACCCAAAATTAAATTCTAAAAAATTTGGACTATCTTTTACCATGAAAGATGCCCAATTATTATGGCAAAATATTACCAAGATTTTAAATGAAACTGTTGGCCCAAAGAAGACACTAACGAAAAATCGTAAAGCTGTTAGTACCTATCGTGACAAAAATTCTATTAAATTTTACTTATTGTTTAGTCAATATTTTGCATATTTTGCGCTCTATACTTAGAGCAGACTTCCTCGATGGAGGTTCTAAATATGGGCGTAGCTCATTAATTAAATTTAATGCAAGAACTTTTGTCAGTCTAAATTTTTGTATAAATGCCCTTTCGGACAAAACAACAGAAAATAACATTTTATTAATGTAAATAGATAATTTTACATATTGTAATTTGTTTTGTAACATACCAATGAACGGATCCTCCACTAAACGAAATTTCATTGTTGAATGGCCATTATCTTCAACTATTTCTAAATTACTAATAACTTGCACATAATTTATATTAAGAAAGTGTTCCATTTTAATATTTAATATTAAATAAATTTGAAAACGTTATAAATATATAAGTTTTCATATGAATATGAATGATAACAGTAACATTAGTATACTAAAATCATAATTAGTGTGCTAGATACCACTCTAAAAAGATCATCTAAAACTTTAGTACACTAATAAATATTTTTTAGCATACCAACATTCAAAAATACGGTTTTTAGTTTCACACTAATAGCTGCACTAAAACGTCATGTTTTAGTATACTAAACAGATTAGTACACCAATATAAAATTCAAAAATAGACCCCCTGGTATAATTTTACAATCTTTTACTCGCTTTACGCTCTCTCTCTTCCACATAAAGTAATCAATCTGATGTATACCTCCCAATCTTATAAGTTATATAATGTTCTTCCCTCTTTCTAAAATAAGTATTAACCACAGCCAGTGGCGTGCTCAGGGGGTAGGTTAGGGGTCATATCCCTCCCCATTGCGTTTTTTTTTCTAGCATCGAGTACCTTACAGCAATAATTAAATAAAGTTGGAATTATTACATTGTATATTTGTATATCAACATTAAATCATATCATACAAAACACAAAATATTAATAAATATTTTAATGAGGCTTGACTTCTAAAGCCCCCTTATTAATCTTTTTCTAATTCTTTTACCCCCATTAAATGTATTTAGTTGTATTAATACCTATTAGTTATGACATCCCTCCCCATTTAAAATTCCTGGGCACGCCACTGACCACAGCAAGATCATACAATACTGCGAAATCTAGGATTCTTTCGCCAGCCTCATTCTTCCCACTAAAACTATACCCTCCATGTACTCTTTCATATCCTGAAAAGGTATTTTCAAAAAAAAATTTGTTTTCGTTTAATCATTTTCAAATATGTTATAGCAATTTAAGTAAAAATATATTGAAATTTGTTTATTTCAATGGTATTTTTTGAGGGATTAACTTCCCTAGTAATCGTGTTAATAGATTCAACTTAAAACTTTTATGGAGAATGACATAATAATAAAAATAAACTTGTCATGGTAAAAACTTTCTCTACTTCATATCAAAGTTAAAAGTATTTTATTTTATTTTTAGACATTAAAATTATTAATTTAATTAAATCAATTTTTAGGTATGCTATTCAATTACTAACACCTTCATCTCAAAATGCTAAAATAAATGGACATAGTTCTATACTACGATCTGATATAGAAGAAACTACATCATTGTTTATGCATGCTAAAGAATCGTCAAAAATTCTCAAAAAATGTGCTGATAAATTCATGAAATAAAATATTATACAAGTATATTTTCTTGAGTATGTGTGTTATTTTTTATAAAGAATTCATTTGTTGTAATAATGTATTCTATCCTAAATTGATTAATAAATAAAAAAAAGTTTAGAAATTAAAATTAAAATTGATTTATTTTTATCAGCACAAAATGTAAACATATTCATGAATCTATCAAACAGACTGCTATTAATACTATTAAGGAAGAACCACACACTTACTACTCACGCTTCTCTAAACAACTTCAAAATCATCCCAATCTATTAATAAAGGACCTATCGATATCCACAGGAAATCCTCGCCATAGGCTAAAAAGGAAATGGTGTTTTAATTTGTTGTAAACTCATTAGTTGCATTAATTCAAAAAAATATATATATAAGAAATAAATAAATAATCTTTAAATGTTGCTAATAGATGACTTCTTATCAAGTTTACATATATTTACCTTTATCTTATAAGTTTATTGTATTAAAAATTGTTTGGATTGTCTATATAATATAAATAAAAATTAATCCATGAGATTTAGAAAAATAGGGCTACTAAATTTGTTCATTGCTGTATTAAAAGTTGAGATCAGATAGACTTATTGGCTCAGTTCTATAAAACTCATCAATAACGCAACCAAGGATTCCCTGGTTCCAAACCTTCACAGCCAAAATCGTAATAGGAGAGGCGATATAGCAGGAATGAAATTCACCATTTAATGTTTTAAAAGTTATCTGGGGGTCCAGATAATGATAAAATCTTCAAAAAAAATTAGGGAATTTAGGAAATGACTAAGTAATACGAATAAAAATTTCATTATGATCCATGCAATTTTCAAAGTTATTTCTATGTATACTTTGAAATAAATTAAGAATCGATATTTTTTAGTTTAGTTTTTTAGCATAATAATATTTACGACGATTGAGTCAATTTAAAATTTTGATTTTAAAAGCTTCAACCAGTAGCGTAACCCAGCAGGTAGGACCTGGTAGGGCATTGTCACAGGCTGTAGTTAAAGTAACTTAACTCTTTTTCCCAAGCGAGCTATAGGCAAAGATCACATAAAATGTTTTATTTTCAAAAAATTCCAAAAAAAACACCAGTAGAGACGTAGTTACAGAATAAGATTCTGATAGATCTTATCTATTCTAAGACCGAGCCTAATACTGTAGAGTACCATGTCTCTATTTAAACACTAAAGTCTTATAGGTGCAAATTATAAAAGATACAGCCTATACTAAATTTAAAACTAAGTACGCCTATGATTTCAATTAGGTACAATTCGTAATCTTTTGACGCATTGTTAAATAATTTTGTGTCCAAAATGAACGGAGTAGTTATGCGGACAGACAAATAATACATTATGTATTTAAACCATAGATTAAACAATTATGTTTCTTGAATCGACATCATTGAGTAAACATTTAATGACAGTAATACTCATGAAAAGATTATGTTTTAATATTTTAAAACAATTTTGATTATTTAACAGCTGTTTGATAATTGACTAATAAATTTATTTTATAAAAAATATGGACGTGAATACGTTTATGATAAAAAGAAAACTTGTTATGATTGCAACGTGTCTAATACAGTATTTTTATACTTTATATAAAATAAGTACTCCCTCACGATTACATAGATAAATTTATGTATGTGTTAAATACAATCCTATACTCATTTAATGTTTTTGTAAATGTTTAGTTTTTTATTTACAATGGAAGTATAATTATCTTCAAGTTAGTTCTGAGTACGTTTTTGGTAGCTATTCATAATTAATCATACAATGGTTGACGATCAAACATTTAAGTTTCCAGACACAGTAGCAGTTCTCAAGTCATCCAATGGTTCAACAGTTTACTTAGTTGGTACTGCTCATTTTAGTAAAGAAAGTCAAGACGATGTTGCCCATGTAAACATTAAATATTTTAAACTTGTAGATTATTTTATTTAACTAGCTAATTTTACTATCTTAGAGTTTGAACATTTTTAAATATCAACTAAAAATTTTTCCGAATTCTCTGAATACAATAATTTCTACAATTTTATTTAAGAATACTTATAAGTTCACTATCTGTACAGGTAATTAATGCAGTAAAACCTGATGTTGTTGTGATTGAATTATGTCTAAATAGGAAAACAATTCTAACCATTGATGAATCAACAATAGCTGATGTAACAGGAATTACTTTAGGTATGTATATTGTTATTAATCATTATAGCAACATCAAAAAAATTGACTACATCATTTTTAGCTTCGATGCAAAGCTGAGAAGGTATTAATTTTAATATGATGTTTTTTTTTTTTTTTTTTCTGTTACCACTCAATCTCAGCTCTCACTGGACTGATTTTTATATACAATACGTCAAAGATCACATATTGTATCTAGTCGAAGACATTATCCTCAAAAATTGTAATAATTACCTTGTTCCCTATAAATGGAGAAAATCCTCCAAAAAATTACAATTTTAAAAATTGGTAATTTTTGACATTTTATTTTTAAATGAACAAATCAATATAATTTTTTTTATTTTTAATGATATCTTAGGTATTTCACTATCATTTGATATATTTTTGTGAACATTTGACCCTTTACCTGCCCATAGGGAGGGTTTCAATATGGCAACTTTTTAATAAAAAATTAACTTTTGAAAATGTTGAAAGACTGACACTTTTATATACAAACATTTTTTATTTAAAATTATTGCATCAAGCCCTTTAAATTTTTATATGCGTTAAAAGTAAAGAACTATACAACTATTTTATTATTTTTATAATATCTCCGTAAAAATTACAATATTAAATTATTGAATATCAATTTCATTTTAAATTTAATTACTTTAATTATTCATATATTATAATTATAAATCAAATAACTAATCGGGATAAAATTAAGGGAATAAGAGTTATTGTTGCTTTTGAAATAATCTACCACTTTCTTAAAATTAAACACTATTTACAGATTTGCATCGAAGCGTTTCTTATGATAGTGATTTTAATCACTGTCAGATATCATCTATACTTGTCCCAACTATGCCACTTTTTATGTATAACTTTATTTTTTATTAAGTATAAAGCGAAAGAAATTACTTTAAATTAAATTTAGTTAAGTGTATATCCAAAAGGATATCAATAATTAAAATCCATAAATATAAACCTTATAAAATCAGAATCTATTAAAATCTATATTTTTTAACACATACCTATAAAAAAAAAACCAAAAGAAAATATTTGTTTAAGGCCCTGTTTAAAATTATTTATTTTAATTAAAAAGCTTTAATAAATTGTTATAATAAAGTTGATACTTAAAACAAAAATGTCTTCATTATTTTTCCTTTAGATGGTCTTCGAGGGTCTATAAAGAAATTAGGGCTAACACAAGGAATATTTTATCAACTTATGCTGAACATATCAGCAAATATATCTCGGGACCTTGGTATGATACCTGGTGGAGAATTCCGTAGAGCTGTCCAAGAAGTAACTAAATAATTAATTATTGACTTTAATTTTATTTGTACTTTTTATGTGTTTATAATTTTCCAAATTTTAGGCTAAGAAATACAATAGTTATATTTTCTTAGGAGATAGACCTGTTGACGTTACTATTAAAAGAGTAATATCTATGTTAAGCTGGCCAAAAAGTATTAAACTTTTGTCTCACTTATTGTTTACTTCAGATTTAAAAATTACGTGAGTAATAAAAAAATTCAATTTACTAGATCATTATGTTACCATTGATAATTTTTTATTCACATTATATAAATTTCTACATAAAATTATTAGCAATATTATTAATAAAAAGTGAATGAGTAAAAAAAAAAACTAATAGTCTTAGGAGCAATTACATTTAATAATCATTGGATGTCTAAAAAAAAATTATTTTTAAAAAAGAGATATGATGTTCTCAAAATAGCAAATTGCCCTGGTTTGCGCCTGAATATTGCCTTAAATTAAATATATTATATGCCATATCAACATTTATGATATTTGACTTTTTAATATAATTGAATATAAAATAAAAGTTGTTTATTAAATGAATTAGTTAAAGTTCATTAAATTCTCAATCTCTCAAGGCTTACTTTTTCTTAAGTTAAAATAATTATAATACAAATGAAAACCATTAAAAATATTTCATATTAACTAAAATACTTTGGTTATTTATTTTATTGAAATGTAATTTTTTTTAATTTAATATAAATGGAATAATGTAATACTTAATGTTAATTTTGTGGAAGGGAACAAATTTGAAGTTTTTTATAATGAAATGCCCTATTTTGAGATAAAACACTCTTACAATGACAGCTCCATAAATACATTACACTTACAATGACCAAAAACTGGCTAGTGTTAAATAATTAAACTTGATTTGAAATATTTTCTTATATATTTACATATTTTTTAAATATATTATAATCTCTATTATTTAATTTAAATAGTTTTTAATGCCTAAAATAATTACTAAATAAGGAAATAAATATTACATTATTTATAATAGACTCTGTATTTATTTTTAGTAAAGAAGATGTGGAAAAGTTTAAAAATAAAGATTTATTAGAAACTTTAATGTTAGAAATGGCTGCTGATTATCCTGAATTAGAAAAAGTAATAGTTGATGAAAGAGACAAGTATTTGACTCATAGTTTACAAAGTTGTGCAGGTTTTACTATTGATAAAACAGGAGTGCATTTTTTTGATTCAAGTTTGTAATTTATTATAATAATTAATAATTGTTTCATTTCATAATAATATCTAATTCGAACAGGTCCTAGAATAGTTGTTGGAGTTGTTGGTTTGGGTCATATTGCTGGAATTAAAAACTACTGGGAATCTGTAACTGAAGAAGAAATAGCTGAATTAAGCATGTAATTCTAAACTTAAATATTTTTAATTAATAACTAAGTATAATAATAATTAAAAAATTATCTTTAGAATTCCGCCTCAATCAAAAAGTAGTAAAGTTATCAAAGTTGTTCTTAAAGTTGGTGTCTATGGCCTTCTTATATGGGGAATTTCAAAAATTCCAGGAATAAAATCTGTATCACAGACAGCATATAAAGCAATTGCCACCAAATTAGTATAATAAAAATTCATCAAAATCAAGTAATTAATATTACATCTAATAATTTTGTTCACTCTTATAACATTTTTAACCCTTTTAAATAAGTTATCTTTCTTAAAATAAAAAATCTTATTCAAAATATATGCTATTTTTTTTTTAATTAAATAATTCCAATTTCATCTACTTATTTGAATGATTCAAATTAATTATTATTAATTCTAATTAATAAAATTAATTATTTTCTTTTAAAAATAGTATAATTATAATATTAAAAATAAATTAGTTTTGTTGATTAAATCTAAATGTTATTAATTTATAATTTTTTAATTGTTTCTCAATGTATAATTCTGAATTTATCAAAGTAATTAAAAATAATATTTTAACATTAATTATTTTTACATGATTATAAATCATAATATTTTTAGAATAATAAATTATTATAAATTCAGATTTTTAGTGATGCCAAATTTACAGACTATAAAACTTATTTCATAACTAAATTTTTTTAATCAAACATTTATTTAATTACCTAATGGTAATTAACATTAGAAATGTTACACTTCAGCTATAATTAACTAAAAAAGATCTAAATAAAATCTTATAACAAAGACCTAAAGTATACTATTTTATCAATTAAAAACTATTTAAAAAATCACATAAAATGTATCTAAATTTTAATACAGTAAATCTCCTCTATGTCTTATTCACTATCTTCAAAAGTTCAAAATAATTTATAACCTATTTCTTTTTAATTTTTGTATACCAATTTTTTAAATTTTCTAATATACCAAAAGTTTTTGGTATACTAGACACTTAAATTAACACAAAAATATAGTTTAGTCCTATCTTCCTCATTAAATTTTATCATCTTTAGTTTTTTATATAGAAAAATACATATTTAGCTGGTATATAAATAAGAAAATGAATGTAAAATATGATTTTTTATTTAGAACTAGATAAAACAAATATATATTTTAAGAGAAAGAGGTATTTTATTGAGGAACCTATCTAGAAATTTTCTCTTGCTAATTAATTCAATTATAGCCAGTACTACTAAACCAGATGTGCAAGGCATACAAGCCATGAGCCTACTATTTTTAAAATTATGATAAGAGAGAATAATTTATACATTGGCTTCTAGTTCAGTAGTTGTGTTGATTTTATAAAATCTCAAAAGTTAGATCTACACAAATCCAGATAAAATATTTAATAAGAATTTAATAATTCCTTTAATACAAAGTATTGAAAAGAGGAGAGATGAAAAAACTAAATTATAGGTACAGTATAATTTTGTAAAGATAATTACTTATAGACTTTAACTTAAAGTATTATTTAAAATATAAATAAAGTGCTGGCCTCATTTATTTCGGAATATTTTCAATTGATCCTCTCACATCCCGGCAATTGTCATAATTAAGAGGGCTCAACTTAAAAATGTAGAAATATAAATGCGTATATAAAGATATTTATTTAGGGTAGCATGGTTGTCAAGTTAAGGTATTTTATGATATAGATAGATAGTTCTTATGAATTCAGTAATTGTATTATTGTTTAATGTGTAAGCTAGTTTTTTGTGCTTGTTAATCAATAACATTTTAATGATAAAAAAGGAGATAAAAATTTGTAAAATTAAGTTGTTTTAACTTTTTGGAAACTAAAAAAATGAATGATATTTAAAATTATTAAACTTTAATAATATGATTGAAGGTTAAGCGTAGGTCTATTTATTTTTATTTTTAGGCATTTATGAACAACATTTCTCGCACTTTAATATAAAATTGCTAATTTATTTTAAAATAATAGTCAAAAGTTGTTAACCACTGGACATTATTTCCTTAATCAAATAATTTTCTTTTTTTTGACTTAGTTAAACTTATGTTTTCATTTAAAAATTGTAAGTTGATGAAATTTTAATTTCTGAGAAGAAAAAATTATATTTTATATTTTTAAAGATATTGTGTAAATTATAGTTATACAATATATAAATTTATTAATTCGTTGGTAAATGTTTATTTTTGAATTATGCTTTCCATATCAAAATATATAGTAAAATTTTCAGTATAAATAACTTAAAACTCTTCTTACTTGGTACCAAAAGATATATACTCAACATGTTTTTAAACTTAAATTATATTGTAATAATCACTTATTTACACATGTTTCTATCCCAACATGTCTATCTCACCATTGTGTTCTACATGGTGTACACTTATATTTACGTTTTCACATCTAATTTCAAAATTTAATTTTTTTAATATTTATTACTAGAGTTATAATATAGGTATATTTTATATTTGTCAACTATCAAGGATTTGGTTTATAAGTAGTACTACTATGATTTACTTACAGAAATTATACCAAAGTTTGATTTTTAATTATTGTTATTAATGTCATAAGAATTCATTGAACAATAAAAATATTATTTATAATATATTTATTATATTGAATTTAAATGTTGTCAGGAAAATAAGATTTTCAAGTATTTTTTTCTTTATTTTAAAAGTATTTAATTGAGATAACTCTTAGGTTTTATAAAAAGTTATTATAAATATGAGGTATATATATATGTACATAATGATAAATTGGGAATATTTTAATTACATCTTAAGTTATTTTTTATTTTAGTTGAATATATATTCTTATCTGCAATGAATATTTACCAAAAAGAAGACAACTATGAACATGTTGACAACTCTCTAATTTATTCATCAACTAATGTACCGGGACCAGGTTGTAATAAAGAAGAGTTTGATAGTTGTCCAAGTCATATGTGTAAATGCATTAATTCATGTTTGATATCAAGCTGTGATTGTATTGGGATTTCTTATAATTATGATAAATTTTTAAGTCTAATATCATATGATAAATTAATAAATGAATGTAACGACTTTTGTAATTGCAAATTGTGCCAGAATCGTGTAGTTCAGTTGGGACCAAGAATTGGATTAGGAATTTCCCACTGTGATAAAGGATATGGTTTGTTTACCAATAATCCTATAAAAAAAGGTCAATTTATTTGTGAATATGCAGGTGAAATAATAGATACAATAGAAGCAAAGAAACGTGCCCAATTTGACAATAAAAATTACATTTTTGTAATTAATGAACATTTTTCAAACTGTATTAAAACTACTATTATTGACAATACTTATATAGGTAATATTGGCCGTTACATAAATCACAGTTGTCAACCAAATTGTGCTGTTATTCCAGTGCGTGTTAACTCTTTTATTCCAAGGTTAGCAATTTTTTCTTTAAAAGATATTAAAATAAATGAAGAAATAACTTACAATTATGGCATTGATAACAGTTTACCTATTACTAATACTTCTAAAACAAAATGTTTATGCAAGACTGATGTTTGTAGAGGTTACTTACCTAGTAAAATGGGACTCTTTTAATTTGTTATACTTGTTACATAATAAAATGTCTTTTGAAATGTATTATTCTTCTTTTTGACATGTTTCAATTATTTAAATAAGAATTATTTTAATTACTTATAGTCAATGTAAATATTTGTATTAAAGAAAAATTAAAATTTCATAAAAAGAGAATTACATAAATACACTCAGAATAATTTGTAATTATAATATATGTATGTATTAAATATAAATAAATGAATTTTAAGTAAAATTGTTAAACTCATGTTTTATATAAAAAAATATATATATCTTTTTATATTCAAATATTTTAAGTAGATAATATGTATCAATAATATACATTTTTTTTTTTTTAGTTTAGTTTTGTAAATTAATTTTAATTAACATTTATTTAATGGTAACTTTAAACAGTAGTTTAAATTCATATAATTTATTTTTTTAATATCTTTCCAAAATCATATTTATTTTAATAAAAATTACATTAATAGTATTAGTATTATTTTCAAAACAATGTATTGTTAACTTAATTATTTTATAATATTGTATTGGAATATTTTTTGTAATACTTTGTCATAATTGGATGAAAATAATTTTTAATACTTATATTAAAACTTTAGGAACCAAAAAAAAAAAAAATCATTTGACATGCAAAGTTATGTTTTAAAGTTCATTTTATTAATTTATTTCTTTTAATAGAAAATGTACAATACTTAAAGTTTAATGCTGATCAATTCTATCTAATGCTTCAATAGTAAGCACACTATCACCTCGTATAACCTGTTACATATAAAAATTAAAAATAAATGTTTAGTAACAATTTAATCTTATTGAAGAACCTAATTGGACTGATGAGATATAATCTTATAATTTAAGGGAACTACAAAATTCAAAAAAAGTTTTTTTTGATAAAGTAATAACTTATATTTGAAGATGAGTAACTCAACTTTAAGTCAGATTTTTATCTTAGAAACAGTGCATTTAGCTAATAATTTTACAATTTAATATTAAAAAATAATGATAACAGTGTTAAAATACATAATATAATTAGAATGTAAATAAATAAGTAAGTGTTTAAAGATATGTAAAAAAAAATTATTTAAAGTAACAAAACCATGAAAAAAATTAATTAAGCAATACAATTATGAAGTACTTCGCTTTATAAAAATTAAACATAGACCATTTGGATAAATTCAAATATACATTATGGTTAGGTAAATAATGCAATTATTATGAAAATGATATAATATAATTAATCTTTAATTAAATATTTTTGAAAATAAATTAAATTAGTTAATTTAAAAATATGTATATTAAATCCAAAAAGATTCATTATTCTTTTCCTAAAATACACGTTTTTAAAGTTAAGTTTTGATCCAATATATAATTGAACACCCAAAGTTTATTTGTTAAATCATTATTATCAATAAAATTAAAATAAAACATACCACCATGCCAATGTTATTAACAATACCATCTTTTAATTTTTCAATTGTTTCATCTAAGACTAGATTCATAAAAGGATCAAATCCACGAAGTACACCTGAGACTTGTCGATTAGCATTTAGTTTTACTAAAATAAAAATATAAAAGTATTGTAATCAATTGTACACAGTAACATAATTATTTAACAAGTACATTGAAATATTTTGATATAATCCAATTTAATATTGACATGTATTGTAATAACTAGAGCTCGGGTATTAATATATTTATTATAAGATTGTTTTAGATGAGACAAAACTCAATTTATGTAATGGAGATTTTAAAAATGAAACTTAATTTGAAATTTTTTTTTAAAAGTAATTTTAACACATTTTAGAACATAATGAAAAAAAAATTGTTTTCATTAAAGTTAGGTAAATTAAATTTATATTTAGCAAGCAAAATGTCAAACATTTTTTTATATGTATTACTTTTCTCTATGTTAAGTGTGAATATATTCATAGGCATTATCTGTAAAAGGATTTAGTTCTACCAAAACTATAAAAAATTTTTTATTTGGAAATAATTTTAAGAAGTGATTAAGTTAAATTTTCTAAATAAATATTTTTTTTAACTATTAATATTAAAAAAAAAAAATTGCATAGTGAGGTTGTGGCATAGTTGGAACAAATATAAATGATATTTGATAGTGATTAAAATCACTATCATAAAAACACTTTTATGCAAATCTTGTATATAGTATATAATTTAAAAAAATTGGTGGATTATTTCAACAGCAACATCAACTCCTATTTTCTTAATTATATCCTGATTAAGAGTTCTTTGACTTATAAATTGATATATATGAATAAATACTGATTATAGTAAATAAATTTTGTATGAAATTGATATTCAATAATTTAATATTGTAATTTTAATGGAGAAATTATGAAAAGTTATAAAATAATGTATTTTATTACTTATATGGTCAATAAGTATAAAAGTTTTAAGGGCTTGATGCAAGACTTTTCAGAAAATAATTTGGTCTAACAAAAATATTCTTTTTCTAGACTAATTTTTGTACTAATTTCAAAGTTGAATTTGAATTTTTTCTAGTACCTCTAATTTTTGAGATTATAACTAATTTATAAAAAAAAAATATATATATATTAGGGTGGATCAAATAAAGTCGATCTTCGCAATTTTAATAAGAACCATTTTAACTTTATTTTATACTATAAGATAAGCATTTTGTGAAAATTTGAGAATTTTAAAAACATTTTACTGGCTGCTCAATGTGTTTATAGACCAAAAATATCCCAAAAAACAAAAAAGTGCCTCTAATATTTAATTTTTGGTCAAATTTTTTAGTTTTAAAATCTTGAGTAAAAAATTTATATTATAATTAATGTCATTTTATGGTATATTTCTAGTAGGTCTCAAGTAAGCTTAAATTTTTTTTCTATGCAGTTTGACTGATATTTATGTGTATTATAAGTAGAAAAAAAAAAACCCAGCACAGGGGGGTCGCAGCACAGTGTTGACGTGTCATAGTTGGATCAAGTATAATGATATCTGACAGTGATTAAAATCACTATCAAAAAAAAACGCTTCGATGCAAATCTTTAGATAGTGTTTAATTTTAAAAAATTGGTGGATTATTCCAAAAGCTTCATAAACTGCTAGTTCCTTATTAATATCCTGATTAAGACAAAGTATGTAGAATAAAAAAGAGATTATTAGAAAATAGTATTTCCCATAAAAAAATTATATTGATCAATACACTTTTCAATAAGTTATAGCATTATAATGTTAAAAATGTAAAAAATAAAATTGAGAATTTTCACACAATAATAGCATTTGGTAGCCATTTTCACCTTGAAGATAAAATAAAGTCCGAAATTTTTTTTTTCCATGATAAAGTATATTACATTAGCTTTAATTTAAGATATATATAAAAGTGTCAGACTTTCCGGAACACTTTCAAAATTTAAGTTGAAAAAGTCAATTTTTTGTGAAAAAGTTGTCATTTTGAATCCCCCCCTGTAGGCAGGTAAAAAGTCAGATTTATAAAAAAAATATACCAAATGATAGGTAAAGACATCATGCATCTACAAAAAAAAGAATTATATTGATCCATACATCTTTCGAGAAGTTATAGCATTATAAAGTTAAAAATATAAAAAAGAATTTTTTTACAAAAATCGTATTTTTTTTATTAAGTTTAATGTCTGTTTTCACCATGAAGATAAAATAAAGTCCGAAATTTTTTTTTACCATAATAAAGTATATTACATTAGCTTTAATTTAAGATATATATAAAAGTGTCAGACCTTCCGGAACATTTTCAAAATTTAAGTTAAAAAAATTAATTTTTTGTGAAAAAGTTGTCATTTTAAATCCCCCCTTGTGGGCAGGTTAAGGGTTAAATTTATGAAAAAAATATACCAAATGAAAGGTAATGATATTATGCATCTATATAAAAAAGAATTATATTGATATGTTCATTTTTGAAAAAGTTATGGCACTTTTAAGTAAAAAAAATTGAAAAAATTTCGAAAATTAGCGATTTTTAAATTTGTAATTTTTTTGGAGGTTTCCCCCATTTACGGGGAACGAGGGAATTTTTTTCAATTTTTAAGGGTAATGTCTTCGACTAGATACGATTTGTGATCTTTTGACGTATCATTGAAAGAAATCGGTTCGGTGAGAGCTGAGAAAAAGTGGTAACAGACACAAAAAAAAACACATCTTAGTAAAACCAATACCTTCTCAGCTTCGCATCGAAGCTAAAATATTATTCACTAATCTTAAAAATTTATACATTTTTTAAAAATAAAGTAAGCTAAAATATATGATTTTCTTGAAAATATTTATAAATGACAGTTGATGAACAAATACTTTTTAATTATTTTTTTTATCAATCAATTCATTTATACTAAATGTAAAAAATAACATAAGAATACAATTTTATGTTATGATAAATCAGTATAAATTTAAATAAAAATTATGAAAAATCAGCAAACCTATGTGAAGTCACTGGTTTTCTTGATTTTAATAATAAAATTTATATGATAATATTATGTAAGAAAAAATAAATTGCATATAGTTTTAATAAATTTAATTTTTGATATGAATATAATTATTTTAAAACTAATACAGTTTTAATATATAATAATATCTGACAGTGACTAAAATCACTATAAAAAAAAAACCCTTCGATGCAAATCTTTAGATAGTGTTTAATTTAAAAAAATTGGTGGATTATTCCAAAAGCTACATGATCTGCTAGTTCATTATTAATATCCTAATTAAAGTATGTAGAATGAAAAAGGGATTATTAAAAAATATTATTTCTCATAAAAAAATAATGTTGATCCATACACTTTTCAATATGTCATAGCATTATAAAGTTAAAAATGTAAAAAATAAAATCGAGAATTTTCACACAATAATAGCATTCGGTAGCCATTTTCACCGTGAAGATAAAATAAAGTCCGAAATTTTTTTTTCGCATAATAAAGTAAATTACATTAGCTTTAATTTAAGATATATATAAAAGTGTCAGACCTTCCGGAACACTTTCAAAATTTAAGTTGAAAAAGTTAATTTTTTGTGAAAAAGTGGTCATTTTAAATCCCCCCTGTGGGCAGGTAAAGGGTCAGATATAAAAAAAATATATACCAAATGATAGGTAAAGACATCATGCATCTATAAAAAAAAGAATTATATTGATATGTTCATTTTTGAAAAAGATATAGCAATTTTAAGTAAAAAAAATTGAAAATTTTTTGAAAATTAGCGATTTTTAAATTTGTAATTTTTTAGGAGGTTTCCCCCATTTACGGGGAACGAGGGAAATTCGTTCAATTTTTTAGGGTAATGTCTTCGACTAGATACGATTTGTGATTTTTTGACGTATCATTGAAAGAAATCGGTTTGGTGAGAGCTGAGAAAAAGTGGTAACAGACACAAAAAAAAAAACATCTTAGTAAAACCAATACCTTCTCAGCTTCGCATCGAAGCTAAAAACTGTAATTTAAGCCATAAAATTTTATTTTTCTTATATAAAATGTCTTTGTAACTCAATTTTTAGTCATTTATAACAATTATTATAACACAAATTTTTTTTAAAATTTCGATATTTATTAAAATATTTATTAAAATATCAATTTAATTTTAGTGTATAATAGAAAACTCAAAGACCAAATCTCAATGTCTAACGATAAAAAATTTTAAGCTTACTTGAGATCTACTAGAAATATACCATATAATAACATTAATTATGATATTCACTCTATCAATTTTTGACTTAAAATTTTGACCAAAAATTAAATATTAGAGGCAGTTTTTAGGGATATTTTTGGTCTAAAAACACATTGAGCAGCCAGTAAAATGTTTTTAAAAATCTCAAGTCTTCACAAATTGCCTATTTTATAGTATAAAATAAAGTTAAAAAATTCTCATAAAAATTTCGAAGATTGATTTTTTTTGATCCACTTTAATGTATATATTTATATATATATATATATTTGTTTCGTTTATTTTTAAAAAAATGTTGTGTGTTATGAGTATGTGCGGATGGAGTGAAACTTCTTTTAAAATCATTTAAATAATAGAATATTAGAATTTAGTCATTCAAACTAAATGACTATTTTGTTACTTTGACTCGAATCTGCGGTTTTGAATTTTGAAATTATTTTCGAAAATAGTGTTAAATTATACTTTACAACAGACCATGATGCTCGATAATTTGTTTTTTTCGAACCCTCTATAAAGTAGTTTCACTTCAAAAAATGATATGGTAGTTTTAAAAAATTGTAATTTTTTGGGGTATTTTTTATTATACATTTTTCAATTTTTAAGAGCAATATTTTCAACTAGATACAATTTGTAATCTTTTGAAGTATTGTTGAAAAAAATTAGATGGTTAGAACTAAGAAAAAGTGACGTTGGATATTAAAAAAAAAAACAAACGCATCATAGTAAAATTATTAACTTTTCAGCTTCGCATCAAAGCAAAAACAAATCAATGCATATAAAAATATTTAAATCATTTTTATTATTTTATAACAGTTTAAAACTGCTTTTTTTCTTTAAAAATACTAATAAGTACTACTACTAAAATTGTTGTTGACCTATCTAAATTATTTTCAAATATCTTCAGTTTGATTCAGAAAAAGATATTACTATAAACTAATTATAATAATATTTGAAATAAAAGTTATCTTACATTGAAGTTTTTTATCCAGATACCTAAAAATAAAAATTAAACTATTAATGAAAAAATATTAAATATTCAAAAAAGTATATAATAAGAATTCCTTACATGTAACAAATATTATTTAAAATTTTTATTTATTTTTTATATTTATATTTTATTTAATTTTTTTTAATTCATAATAGTATATAGTTTTACTCAAATGCTTAACATTTATACTTTTGATTAATAATAGTTTTAATTAAAATATTTAGATATACAGGTGGTCCACAATTCACTGACAACTTAAAAAACTTTTAATCTAATTAATATTTTTTCCTGATTTTTTTAAAATAATATTTATATATTAGGTCTATAATTATATTATATCTCAATAATTTATATTATTTCATTTTATTAAAAATATTAATTTTTTTTTAATTGTGAAATAAAATGTTAAAAAAAAAATCCAAATAAGCTATTTTGTAGAGTAGATTTTAAGAAAAATTTTGGATAAAAAATATCTTATTAATATTCAGTAGTACATAGTCTGTATCATTTTAAAGTTTGTGAAAATTTTTATTTTCATGAGTTAATTTACGGTATTAAACATTGAAATACGTATTGAGTTAAGAACAGAAGAAAAATAAGATAAGTTTTATATCTAAGGAGATGATACTACTTATTAAATAATATGTATTGTTCTTGTTTTTATTTGAAGTAAAGCCAGTCATTGAAATGTTAATAATTTTCATTGAAAAATCCATACTCATATCATATTTAGGTGAAAATATGGTGTTTACTTCAGTTCTTTTTATATAATTTAGCCAGCATTTCATACCGTAGAATAAATACAGAAAAATACAAATTTTTACAAAATTTAAAATGTTACAGAAAATTAACTATCAAACCATAACGAGAATTTTTTTCATAGATTTTTTAAAATTTAATTATAAAAATGATATTAATTAAATTATTATTATAGCCCTCAAGTATATTAACTATATAAAAAAAAATTTACTGGATCAAAAGTTATTTAAGTTGTCAGTGAATGCTGGGCCACCTATATATATATTAAAATATAAATAAATATTTATTTTTTCTATAGAGCTTATAAATTTAAAAAATATTAACAATTCAATAATATATTTCAAATATGTATTCATATAAAAGAAATAGTACTATTTATTAATATTTAAATGATAAAATTCTTCTTCTTCTAAAAACTTTAATAATATTAACAACTTGAATTCAATAAAATATAGACCTTTCATAATTTCTAAATACATATAATGACCATTTAAATAATAACCCTCTTAATAACTTGCAAAATAAAAATAATTGAGGCAATAATGTGAGAATAGTACAAAGTCCAAAAATAATTTTTTTGTGGAAAACATTATAAATACATATCACAATAATCTGGTGAAAAAAATTAATTAAATGTATGTAATTATTAATAAATTATTTATTTAATAATAATTATTAAGTACATTTTCAGTTCATCAAAAGGAGTCTCTATGTTTTGAAGATTATTATTTTTATATACATTAATTTTATATAGTTTATTTAATTCAATTTATCAATTATTTTAAATCAAGTATATATGTAACTAAAAAAACAAAATATTTGTAAAATAATTTTTATTTTGCAAGTAATTAAATAGTTTGTGTATTCTGTGGTTGGTATAAGTGTAATAAAGGGATCTAAATCTTAACACTCTATAGCTCCTCTGCTATGAAAAAATATGAATATTACATTATATTTTATTTAGATTATTTTATTTTTATGATTTAATATATTCTATTTTAGGTACCTTATTTAGTCTATAACATTTAATGCTACATTTCAAAAATAACAAAATATAATACCTTTTTAATTCAGGAGGATGTGCCTTACTCATATTTTAATTTTAATTTATTTGTATACGGAAAATATAAAAAATTAATTTATAATTTTATGATCCTTAATTTAAAATCAATACATAAAAATCCAAACAGCTACCGGTTACAAACAACAAGAACTGGAAATCAGTCACCAGTAAACAGTAAACTGAAACTTGTTATTGCTGGTATTAATCTACTACACAATCGATTATTTATTTTCTAAAAATTTTTGTTTTATCATTTTTTATTGAATAGTAATAATTGAAACTATATTTATACGGTACATAAATATAATCTATCATCTAAATATATGGTATGCTAAATGATGATATTCTATAATTATTTCTTTTTTTCTTTAAATAAATACTTTTTTTTATATCAATAAAACTTTTTACCAATATCGATCTTTCGATTATTCCAAGTAAAAGTTAGAGTGATACAATGTACATGTTCAAGTTATCTCGATTTTTTATTTTAATTTACTATCATGAATCACATACCATATGTGTTAACACAAACGTGCAAATTTTAAGGTTAGGAATTTCTATCATAATGTGATAAATACTCTTCACTTCTTACCACGTTCCTCCTTTGCGTCATGTTTGTTTTTAAAGAATTTAATTTTGCTCTAATTTTATAGTTAATTTTATTCTTAGTGTTTTGAAATTTAAGAAAAAATTGTAGTCATGCCGCTTTATAATTTTAAAAAAATCACAGTCGTTCCGACTGCTAAAGTAAATTTTATTTATTAACTAAATATTTAATATTTCAAAAAATCATTCGGTACTTAAAATATTTTACTTTTTCAGGACTTCGTTAACATTATGTTATCTAAAACCCAAAGAAAAACACCTACAGTTGTTCATAAACATTACAAAATATCTAGAATCAGGTCATTTTACATGCGTAAAGTGAGATATACTCAACAAAATTTCAATGAACGGTTATCCATGATAATACAAGAATTTCCTAAATTAGATGTAAGTTAAAAATTTTTAAATTGCGTTAAGAGAGTATACAATTTATTAAATGAGTGTTTTACTTTAGAACATTCATCCGTTTTATGCAGACTTAATGAATATTCTTTATGATAAAGACCATTACAAACTGGCCCTTGGTCAACTTAATCAAGCTAGACATCTTATAGATAAGTAAGATACTTTATTTATACATGATTTATCATTAATGTTGATTTTTTTTAAACTAAAATAAAATTAACTCTTGATGATAGCGTTGGAAAAGATTATGTGCGTCTCATGAAGTTTGGAGATTCGTTATATCGTTGTAAAATGCTTAAACGGGCTGCTCTTGGAAGGTATGTTAATTTAAATAATAATAATGAATTCATCAGTTAATTCATGTTTTATTTGGATAGATGAATCTAATTACTTATCTAAATGGTCATATATATTATGTTACTATTGATAAATTATTATTATTATTATTTAATACTAATTAAAAATTATCTTTTTTTATCGATAATACTATTTAATAAATATTTAGTCAGATTTTATAAAAAGATGGTGAAGTCCAACATTGTAATTTTTTATAAGACAAGTAAAATGTATTTGTGTATAAATGAGAATTTTCAAATATAAATAAAATTAAAAATATTCCTCAACTATCTATAAAAACAACATTGATGCTGCTATACATAGTGAACATTTTCTTTAAAAAATTGATAAATAACCTAAAGTTTACAAAATTTGACTTTATTATCATCTCACAATCATTCATATATAACTTTATGATACTTAAATCTATTCTAACCATTAGAGTACAAGTTTTATTTTATATACAGTTAATTAACACATTTGTATTAGTGGCAATTTCATAAATAGTCTGAAGGGTATCATAAGTAATCTGCATTTTTAGAATAACTTGTAGACTATTTAACCTTTTATAAAACATAAGCCACTTCTGAACCTAATAATCTGAATATGTAGGTTTTCTTAAGGGTATTTAAAGTGATAATATGAAACAAATTTATCATTTTTTAGGAAAAATTAAATAAAAAAAAACATTTAATAGAATTGACGCTGTCGGGGTATTGCTATTGGACTGATTTGAATATCATCTGGATCAAGATGGTAATACACCGACCATGCTTTGTTTCCCCGAGCACATTAACAAAACCCGAGATGCCTTATTGCTTATTGGCGACCGTCAGCATTAACATAAATATAAATTGTGTCCAGCAACCCCTGATCAGTCTGTGATTAACAGTATTATCTTATATTTACACCAGTGTTCGAAGTGCATAATATACATATCTTATTTACAAAGAAACTTGTAGTTATTTCTTTTCGGGTTTATTATAATACTATTAATTAATAATTTTTATTATAATAATATAATATTAATTAGAATATTAAAATAAGTTTATTCTAACTTTATTTTGCTGAAATTTCGTTGTCATTGCTTTACCACAACCGCAACAAAATAATTATTAGTAGTGATGGGAAATATCGAATAGTTCAATAGTTACTATTCGATAGTTATACAATATATTCGAATAGTTTATACTAAAAATAAACTATTCGGTTGTATAAAAACAATTTGAATATTTAAAAATATTCGAAAATGGCCATAACTTATTATTATGGCCTAAATATAACTTCATTTTGCCTTTTTAAAATTTTTTTCATTGTATGTCTTATGGATTTTAAATTCAATCTTTATAATTATAATAATATGTAGATTAACTTTGAGTGCGAATATGAAAGTACTTTGGTTATTTAGAACCCTAAGACAAACAAAATTTTTATTTTTTATCACAAAATGTATTTGATTACATATAGAATAAAACTTGTTTTAATCCTCTTATATTGTATATTTTTAATTTTAACATCAATTTATCTTATTATTGAATTAAATTATTTTTTGGTATTTAATATATCTAGAGCAAAATGTTGTTTTGGGTATTTGAATATAGGCACCCCCAAGTCTGAAACAATATTTGCTGCGTCTATAAATTAAACCTTATTGATATTAAAAAAATGTTAATTGAGGTATCATAATTTTTTGGGTCATATTTTTAGTTGATTCTTATGAATACATTTTGTTTTAGCTATTCTTAAGCATGTTCTTAATTATAAATATGACCCTAATAGGGTATGGTTCCCACAAATCTAGGATAGTCATAGGTTTTAATATGATTAAGAAAAACATGGAAGTATCAAGGTCAGGAGGTTTGTCACAAATCTAGAAAACAAAGAAAATTAGATTTTTTTTTTAGTTAAGGAAACTGGAATGTTGGAATTTAATTAGAGTACCTAGAATTTTGACAAAAACTTTTTACATTTTAGCACAGGGTTAGGGGGCTGAGATGTCAACAGTCTAGGAAACTCAATAATTGTTATAATGGCCCACATTACTGTAAAAAATATTTCTATTGCTCCATAAAGAGAAATGATGAGCCAAAGAAAAATAAATTTTAAAAACTAGATTATATTAATCATAATTGCTCTATAGTGGCACAGGGAGCAATTTCCCCCTTGCTTCTGTAGCCAGTCTGTCAGTGGATTTCAATTAATTAAAATAGAAGTACTATAATTTAACTTTTTCATATTTGAAGGAATAAATTTATTAACTAAGGTTTTTTTCTTTTTGCATTTTACCTCTTTCCTGAAAAATGTCAATGATATCAGGAAATAATAAAATTGTGGCAACGCTGAAGTATTTAATCATTAAAAATTTTTAAAAATTAATTTTATGAATGACAATAAAATTATATGAGAGGCTGGTTGGTATTTCAAAACCCTCCTATTATAATTTTTTAATGTGTATTCTAATTATATGAAAAATAATAAGGCGAGGCTTTTTATATCAAAAACCCTCATAATTTATACCTGTAATCTTTAAACTAGAAGAGGGGTAGATAAAGAGGTATTTTTAGGGTTCAGTCCCAACTTTATTTTAATCGGTAATCAAAGAAAAAGAAAAATAATAGAAGGGTTAATGAAATCACACGCCCCCCCAATAATAATGTATGCCTTTGCTTTTTAGGCCATGTATAGACAATTATGAAAAAAATTTTATTATAATAGTTATTTTATTATAATTATTATAATAGTTATTTTGATATAGTATTGTTTTAATTATAGAATGGCTACTATTATGAAAAGGCAAGCTCCCAATTTAGTCTATTTAGAACAAGTTCGTCAACACTTATCACGTTTGCCTTCAATTGATCCTTATACAAGAACTCTAATTTTATGTGGATTCCCAAATGTTGGAAAGTCTAGTTTTTTGAATAAGGTAAAAGCATCCTTCTGTAATAATTTTACAAGTAAAGTGTAAATATACTTAATTTTGTATTATTATAATTGAATATTACAAATGAATTAGTATTAGATAGTTATTGAAGTATGTAGAACTTGAACTGCTAATTCTATAAATTAAATTAGTCTGTTATTACATTTCTTTGTATTTTATTTCATTCATATTATACTTTATTTAGGTTACAAGAGCAGATGTCGAAGTACATTCCTATGCATTTACTACAAAAAGTTTGTATGTAGGACATACTGATTATAAATATTTACGCTGGCAAGTAGTAGATACACCAGGAGTGTTGGATCATCCTTTAGAAGAACGTAACGTTATTGAAATGCAAGCAGTTACTGCATTAGCTCATCTACGTGCAGCTATTCTTTATTTTATTGATGTTTCTGAACAATGTGGTCACTCAATTGCGGAGCAAGTTAAACTTTATGAGTCTATCAAACCACTGTTTACTAATAAGGTATTATAAATATAAAACATAGTTTTAAGATTCTATTTTTAGAATTTCTTATAGTGAAATTAAAAAAAAAATAGTTCTTTATTGGTTTTTTAACAAAATTTAGTGTATTCAAAAAAAGTTTTGAATACATATTCATATTTGGCATAACTATTAATCCTTATAACTTATTTTGGATTTTTGATTTATTTATTTATTAATATGTTGACATTTTATATCTTCTATTATTGAGTAAGGTAGAATAAAGAATTTTAAAATAACATAACAAATACTTATAAATACATTTTACATATTATTCATACAAATTAAAATTTTAATTACTTTGAAAATTTTTTTTTTCCTAACATATTGTCCATAAATATTACAATAAATTAAATGTTAATACCATAGTTAATAAAGTAAAGTAAATTGTAAAATGTCTAGACATACTGTTTCCATTTATATATATATTTAAAAAAATAAAGAGGAACAGTACTCTAAAATAAAAAACTGCAATGTATAATGTAACTTTAAAAGTAATATTAAATAGGTTTTAATTGTTTTATTTATTTAATGAAATTTTAGTTGAAAAATATAATATTGAGATAGTTAATTTTTTGTCAAATGTTTCTAATTATAACTTGTGATTTTTTGCTAAAACCAATGAACAATATTAAAACTTCAACCCTAAATACATGTTAATAATTATTGAAAATTTTCAACACTTAAGGATAAAGAGTGGATCTATTTATTTTTATTTCCATTATTTTCTGAACCACCCTTTTTCTTTCACCCGATGAAAAAATACTTATATCTTTTAAAATATTGATAAAAGTTGTTATTGACCATTTTATTATTTTAAGTAATTTAAACATATATGTTTTCATTTAAAAAACTAAAATTGACTAAATTTTAAGATGAACGAAGAATGGTAGAACTATAACTTTTTGTGTTATTCAAGTAGGTAGGATACTTATAACTTCATAAAAGAAAAAAATTATACTTTATCTTAAACTTTTGAAGATAATGCGCGAGACATAATTACAGGTCAACCTGTATACTTATACCTTTGCCAATTCAAAACTATTAATCTAAGTATTAAAATCCTCATTTTCTCATTATTATAATTTTAGCTATAAAATTAATTATTATAATTTTTAATGCCATAATGCAGCCATTATTAGTTGTCTGTAATAAAGTTGATGTCACACCAATGGATCAATTAAGTGATAAAAGTCGCGAAGCACTAAGCATATTTGAAAAAAATAATATTCCAATTTTGCCAATGTCTGCAGTTACTGATGAAGGTGTTATGGAAGTTAAACAACAGGTATATGAACATTTTCAACACAACATTTTGTATCTTAGCTGTCAGTTCATTGTTCGATTTTATTATTTTTTTATCAAACTACTCAGGCATGTGATACATTATTGGCTTACCGCATTGAAAACAAAATTCAAGCAAAAAAAGTTGATTCTATTCTTAATAGATTGCATGTTGCTGTACCTAAAACTAGGGATGATAAAATAAGACCTGCCAATATACCTGGTACAAGCATTATTAATTGTACACATAAAGATATAGATAATGTTTTATAATTTTTTTTTTTTTTTTTAAGAAACTGTGCTACAAAAGAAACGATTAGCTGAACTTCAAGAATTTAAAAAAAAATTGGAGAAAAATTTAGAAGATGAACTTGGAGATGATTACATTTTAGATTTAAAAAAAAGTTATGACTTGCCTGACGAATTTAAATATGATGTGATACCTGAATTCTGGAATGGAAGGAATATTGCTGATTTTATTCATGCTGAATTATTACAGGTATTGCAGTTATTTACTAGCTAATTACAAGTACTATTTAATTATAATACTAAAAATATATTTGTATAAAAGTGCCTTTAAAATATTTATACTCAAAATTAATTACATACAGGATCAAAAAGTTTGATATTAATTATCTTTAAATGGCATTTTAGCTTTGATACAAAGCTAAAAAGATATGTTAAATTGTGATTAGTTCTGATAGTTTAAATGTGATAAAATTTTTGCCTTACTATATGAACAATTAATGATAATTTAAACTGTAGCAGTTTTTCTCTTTATTTAATTATAAGAAGTATAACTATATTCCTAAGATTAAAAATAAATCTAAATTGTATCTAAAAAAAAATTATGTAAATTTTATAATAGTATTATAATAACTTATTATTCATTACATATAATAACTTTATCATTTGCAGATTATGATTAAATTATTTTTATGTTGATAAATATTTCTTTTATATTATATAAATTATTATATTAGTGATTCCTTCAAATTTTAATGAATGTTTTATATCATAATTTTAATAAATATATTTATACATGTTATTTTTTTAGAAAGTCGAAGAACTTGAAAAAGAAGAAGCTCTCAGAGAAGAAGCAGGATATTATGCTGTCCCTAAAATAGAAATTGATGAGACTTTAAGAGAAATTAAAGAATTAGCACAAAAAATTAGAGATAGAAAAATTATTAATCGTAACGAAAGTAGAATAGCACGTCAATCTAACAAACCTACAACGCCAAGAACAGCTCCAGCACGGGCTCGTGGACGAAGTGCATCAGACTTCAGAAATCGTATGGAAGATCTTGGTGTTGATATGGAAGGAACTGATAATGTAATGTTTTTTAACAATATTGTTTTATTTTTATATTAAAATAAATTTTTTTGTTCAGGCTCATTTCACTAAAACTCGAGGACGGGCTCGCTCCTTATCAAGATCACAATCTCGAATAAATGCTAAAAAACCACGATTAGGATCTATGCATCGATCTGCATCTACATCCAGAAGTCAGAGTAGATTGCCCAGAGACCAATCTGGTGTTCGTGATTCATCTGTATGTATCTTGAATTTTTGTTAAATTATATATCGCCATGTGCAATGAATAAGGCAGTAACTCAACAAATTCAACTTTGAGATTATGAGGTATTTGGATTTAGGTTTTACTCTTATAATAACTTTCATCAAAATATCGTTGATTTGGTCTGAATCAAAATTAAACACTTAGAAAATGATAAACATATTGTGTAATCGGAGAATAAATATTCTTTTTGATTTCTTGAAAAGTAGTAAAAAGTGAATTACTGCCTTATTTGTTGTGCATATTGATATGTTTAAATTTTAAATAAATATTACTCAATATATATCATATTTACAAAAAAATTTAGATGCAATTAAAATTGAAGAAAGTAGCACACAAAGCTATTGCCAAGAAAGTTAAGAAACAAGGTCTTAAAGGGGAAGCAGATCGATTTATTGGAACTAAAAGACCAAGACATTTGTATGCAGGAAAAAGGGGTATCGGAAAAACTGATAGGCGCTAAAATATGTTTGTTTTATTTAGGTGGACTTTTTTAAGTTAACTAAAATATATAGTTAAATATACATTTTTACATACTATAAATAATGTTTTCTTCTGACTGCAATAAATGTTTTGAAAAATATTGCTTTTTTTATTATATAATGAAAAAAAAATTGTTTAATAAATTGAAATTGTGAATTGACCAATTCCAGGAGTTTCTAACTAGCTTTTTCAATTTTTGCACAAGAGTAGCCTTATAAGTTGACATGGGCTTGATTATTAACCAATTTAATATAATCATAAATAATTATTAAATGAATATTGCATTATAATTATGTGAAAAATGTATTAATAAATTAATACATTTATTTAAATTAGTAATCTTAATTATTATTTACCCATTTTTCTTAAATAAGAATTTGATCAAGAAAGTTTCATAAATAAATAGTATCAATCATCTGCAAAACTAGTGATTGGCATGTACTTAGGAAAGTGTCCATAATTAATTTAAAATAACAGATATATCTCTCTTTGGATGAAGTAATTTTTTACTTGCATCCTATTATATAAGTTTTTGAATAATACTGATCAAAAATTGTTACTGTAACTCCCCTATCACTTCATATTTTTTTTTTACTTTTCAGGTATTAAGATTAAAGTATTTGAAATTTTATATTTAATGTTAATAAAAATATTATGTCTATTAAAAATCAGCAATTTTATTTATAAGTCTTGCATGTATAAATGCCCAATTTAACATTTTTTTTCTTAAATATTTACCTTGTTTTTACTTAAATAAGTATACCTATTTTAAGTATCCAATTTTTTTTATCGATTTATATTCTTATATTTTAATTAAGAAAGTTAACACTAAGTTTCTTAAGTAAAAAAAATTGATGTTTTCAAAGAGGGCCTTTTAGGAAATAAGAGGTACATTTTAGGTATCAAAGGCGATTTTAACCAACTTAAAGAGAAATTCAAAGCTGGTATTCTACATTTTTTTGGGATGCATTATACAAAAATTTATCAATTATATATAAAATGCATAATTACTGACTATAATAATTTAAGCATTTGTCAATGGAGAGTGTTGCACCCCTATCAAGATCCGACTCTGTATATAATGCAAGTATCAAAAAAATTATCATGGAACTTAAAAGTAGGTGAGACTATAATCTTTCCTAATCATTTTTAAATTCAGTACCTTGCCATGTTATTAGACTCGAACAAAAATTAACGATGTAATTTACTTTGTTTATATCTATTAACATAAATTCCCAATTGAGAGTAATATTTATTTATAAAATAGTGATGAGTAAAAAAAATGTCCAGAACATGGAATTTTTTAAAAAATTTTATTTCTTACTTCATGTAAAGTATGCCCGGAAAGTAAAGTTTCAAAACTTATGACAATGTTACAGTATTTTCTATAAATTTTAGTTATTTAGCATATAATCAAGACTTAATAAAAAACAATTAGTAGTTTGGTAATTTTTTTTTTTACGTGATGTGCTATCTTATTGCTAATTTTCGTTGAGATCATTTACCTATTCAATTTGTCAAACGAATTGTGACTAGTATCCGAAATCACTCTTAACATTTATTTACTTGATAGCATAACCAACAGTCTTAGAAAAATATGTATAAAATGATTTTGAATAGTCAGACTCCATAATAAAAAAAAACGATAGACAGCCAATTTTTGCATAAAAGCGCATCAAAAAAATCAAAGAGTTTCTGAAATTACATTTGGTACCATTTAATTTGTCCATAGTAAATTTAGGTTAAGTGACATACTGTCACTGCTGTTATCTCATCTAAGTCTATTGCATTCTATGATAAAGTTTTTCTTCAAAAATTCAGGACACTGTTATTGTTCCATTTTCTTTTACTCGACATTTTATATGAAACTAAAATAATGTTTTATACATTTGATGTTTGTGAACACTTGGTATTTGGTTAAAAAATGGTGAAGAAAATATTATGCGAATACTGTAATATAACTTTTGCTGATAATTTATCAAGTAGAAATTTACATTTAAACAGCAACGCTCATAAAAAAAACAGAAAAAATTACTTTTCACAATATAAAGGTATATATTAAAAATTATACTTTTGAATGCCAAATGATGTAAAGTTATTAGTATTATTTCAGACGCTGTAACACTATTTCTTGACGAAAGCCAAAAACAAACGTGCCGACGATTTAAAAATTCTGGTCAGTGTCAATTTGGAATTAATTGTAATCATTCACATTACTCATATGATCAATTATTACTTTTAATCCAACAGGGTAAGTGTTCAATAAGCATTGTTAAATCAAATGTCTTTTATACGTAAGAAGAAAGCATGAATTTCATAAATTCATAACCCATTCAACTATGATAAACCAATATTGTGTTGATACAGTTGAAATCACTGATAAATGTGATGCATGACCAATAACAACTTAATTTATAATTTTTTCAAAAGGCACTCATTTAATTTAATATAAAAATATTATGTTTGTTAAATAGTAATTATCTAAAGGTCACTATTATCTTATTTTTAAGTCCTATAAAACCTTTGTCAATTAACATTTTTATACAACACAAACGTTTTGTTTGAAATGAAAAACTTTTTAGAAAAATTTAGGGAAGTAAGTTTAAATGGTGTATTAAGAATAATTAATACCGGTATTAATATTATTACCAGTATTATCACCATTATTATAAATAAAAAATTAAGTTGAAATTCTTTTCTGTTTTCTTCTTACTCATGAATTAGTTTGATCAGTTTGAGACTCATGAATTTTTATTTAACACTAACATCTTTCAAAAAATAACCTAAATCTATTCTAGTTCATTGATGAATTTATCTCCTAAAACTTAATGTTTTTTAATTTGTCTTCATTATTTGTTATTTCAAATAAATAATTCTTCTAGTAAAAAATGTATAATTGATTCATAAATTTTCATAGTGAAAAAATTGTATGTATAATACAATTTTACTACTTAATAACAATAATAATTATTATTATTAATAATATAAATATATTAATAATTAATAATAATATTTATTATACTTTTATATATCATACTGACCTAACCTGTGTTAAAAATCTCATCTAAAAGAATATTGAGCATTTTGGTTTTAAAAATATATTAACTAGTCTCACAAATTTCAATGTTTCAAAAAAAGTTTCAATAAAATATTGATTTAATGAAATTATTTTATTATTAAAATTAAGTTTTCATATTCTGAGAATATTTAATTGTATTATGTGTCAAAAGTTTGTTGAATTACATAGAGTAATATTTCAAAAATTCTATTTTTACTTAGATTAAATTTTATAAATATGTTATAGCAAAATATGGTGGTATATAATAAATTATATAGTTTAAAATAGAATTTTGTTATTTTATTACATTAGTATAAATAAACAATATAGTTTATTACATAGTAACAAAATAGTTAAAATATTTCAGAAAACGAAGAAAAATTCTATAAACAAGCTCATAAAATAAATTCAATACCTTCAATCAGTTCTTGGTTGATAAAGTATCAAAACAATTTTGTTAATAAAAATATAGAAGGAGAGAATAATTTTCAGAATATCAAATTTGATTTCCAGAACCAGGATATACCATCTTTGAAACCAATAGTTGATGCTGATAAATTGAAGAATATTAAAATAAATACTTGGGTGTAAGTATTCATTTTTAATACATTACCATGTTGATATTTTAAAAAAATATTCTAAGAAAAAATATATTTAATTATACAGTAACTTCCAAGGATGACCTCTTTAGTTCATCAAAAAAACGGAACAGATATTAATAATTCAATAACTTCATCAGCGTTAAATTCTAGTTCCAATATGATTTTTTACAAGTCTGAATTTTGTGAGCAGTCAGACAACTCTGCTCTACCTAATAATACAGTACAAAACTGTTTGACTGATAATCCTGAACTAAATATTTCTATAAGTAATGTAGTCACCAATTTCAGTGTAAAATCCCATTTAAATTTGCGATACTTAGCACTAAATGGTAGCAATATAGAATATAGACGAGAAAATGGTATGCTCACTATGAAACTACGTAAACCGAGTGCAACAGCTACTATTTGGTCAAGTGGTAAAATTGCTTGTACAGGTTCTACATCTGAATTTCAAGCTAAAATTGCTTCTAGACGCATAGCTAGAATTATTCAAAGATTAGGTTATCAAGGTGCAAAGTTTAGCAGTTACAGAATTGTAAATGTTCTTGGGTCATGTACACTGCCATTTCCGATCAAAGTTATTCAATTTTCGGAAAAATATAAAACAATCGCTCAATATGAACCTGAATTGCACCCAGGTGTAACATTTAAGATCAAAGAATTAAAAGCTACATTAAAAATATTTTCTACGGGTAGTATTACAGTAACTGCTCCAAGTGTTACAAATGTTCATCAAGCAATCGAGCAAATTTATCCTATGGTGCTACCCTTTAGACGGGATAAAACAGCTGAAGATGAGAGAGTTATCCGTAAATTAATGACAAAAAAAAGGAACTTCTCACATATTGATGATTTATCAATGTTTAAATCAGATAACAGTGTTAACAAAAGAAGCTGCGAAGGCATAACCATTAGTAAAGAGGGAGTTCACAACAGCTTAGAAAATAATATTATTAAAGAGGAATTTGAAAATGATCTCTGAAAATTATTTCAGTTACCTTAAACTGGAAAACTATACTCATAACAAAAAGCAACAGTTTTATTACATTTATATTAAAAAAAACTAATAATTTAAAAGGACACATAATAAATGTTTTAAAAGTAAATAATACAAAGAATGTACAAAAACTAATTTTATAGTAAGCATTTTACTTTAGCGATAAGTTAAGATGTTCTAGTTAACTAGTCCTTGTGTTTTACAATATATATTTATATATACATGTCATGTGTATATTATGATTTTTTTTTTTTTTTTGTGTGTTAATGTTCCTTGTTAGTTACAAAAAATAGTTGTTTTAAGCTGTTTCCTCATAATTTAATTTTTCATGTTTCCCTAATTACTGAAACATTTTAAAAAGACTCCCCTTTAATTTTCTCATGGATTTTAGTTTATTCAGTGATAAAGCAATAATAATAATTTTTAATATTAAATAATTTTGTATATGATTGTGTTTTTCTTTTTTATTGGTACATTGGTTATAGTATTTACTATTTAAATAAGAAAACATAATTTTTGGTAAATAATTAATAACATTGATTCTTCACTATTAAAATGTTATGTAAATGTTTTCATACATTTGATGTGTGTTAGCCTAAATATTTTTTCAGTTGGTAAATAAAATTGATTATCGGTTTTATTTTGTTCTATTTATTTGAATCGGATAATAATATAAGTTCTAACTAAGCATTTAAATATTATTTAATATAAATTATTTTTCTAATTGTATTTTGTATGATGTATTATGATAATACAGACACCTAGAGATATAATAAAAAAAAAAAATACAGACTATTTTGTGAATCTGTCATATGTTTTTATGAAAATGACAGTATTTTTGTGTATGAAAAAATGTTTATACAATTTGAAAATTTAACAGTTAATAAAAAATGTAATTAATTCAATGTGCTCAAATGTGTATGGTTCTTTAGAAATTTAAAATATTTTGTCAAAATTTTAAGCATTAGTAAATTTAGTTGATTTACAAGATTATAGGTACAGTAAGATAATAAGTTATTTTATTCATAAAATCATATCATTAAATCCATGTTTAGATAAAACTAAAATTCAAGTATAAGTACCCTCCAAAAAAATTCTACTATTTAAAATCACTAATTTTAGGGACACGCCTCTCTAACCCCTTTGGATGCATCATTGTGCTGGTTGTCTAATATTATAATAATCATCATCTTTTATTATGCTTTATATCCAACAGACCATCTCATTAATGTAAATATTTATTATAAATTGCATAATATAAATATATATAGTAATATTTTATTTACTACATATACATAGTAGTAATTATACATATTTTACGTATATAAATAATAAATAATTAGATCAATTAATTACTTTTTTTTTTGAGGAATGCCTACAACTTGTTTAAAAGCCAAATAACCCCATGTCTGTTTAAATCAAAATTTCATGTTGTATTAATAAGGTTTTTTAATAAACTATTGAAGTAGAATAGCATGAAAGTCTACTTCATAATGATAAATATAAACTAATTACTCTAAATTTATACTCATTTATTATAAAAGTATTCGAGTATACTTGTTACGTGTATGAATATACTAAATATGAAACAAATTTTGATCCACAGACTATATGAAAATATTGTATTTTCATTTAGTCTGTTTGATCAGTAAGCGTTTAATCATCAAACCCGTTGAATATACTTTCAATGTTCACTGGGAATCTTAAGTTCATAAATTTATGTCGTTTAATTTAAGATTAATTATTTTATTAGACTATGAAACAAATTTAGGACAACCTAACTTAAATAGCATTAGTTATTTAAGCTACAGAAGAATTAATTTTTATATGGCTAACTAAAGCTTAGATAGGGTTGACGCGTAGAATATATGACTTGTACCCTCGCTCTTTTAAAAGTTTACTTAAAATAATGAACTTGTTTTGCACGAGACTTGCAATTTCTATTGTCAGACCTGATTACAGATGATCACTTAGAAAAAAGGCATTGATAACATATCAAATAGTTGAAATGTTATGTAAATTCTAATATAATATCACCGTTAATACGTATGAAGACATTAAATTATTTGTATTTAATTTATTTTATTTACTGATGGATTTTTTTAATTGTTTTGGTTTGAAACTACGACAAATGTAGCGTTGCATTATCAAAAAACATTAAATATTCTAGTGAGAACAATCAAAATGTTAAGAGAATTAAGCACTATCAGAGAATGTATTGTTAATACTAATGTCAGTTTAAAATCTGTTATTCAGGTAATACATTTTACTTTGTAGTAATTAAAAATAACTAATATTTGTGTAATTTTAACTATAGGATATTTATTTATGTGATGGGCCGATAGAATCCTTAACTCGTTTAAATGATGATGGAAGAAAGCAAATAAATATATTTAGAAATTTAATTGAAAATTTAGAGCTGTTTGCTCAAGAAGCAGAAAGTATTCAAGAAAGATCTGAAGTCATGGAAGAAGTTCGTAACCAAAGAGAATATCTTACTAGGTTATAAAATTTTATATTAAAATAAAAATTGAGTTCTTACTAAATGAATAGTTTGTGATTTTTTAGTAATATTGCATCATTCAGAAAAGCTAATGTAGAATGTATGGCACGAATTCATAAAAAGTCTAGTGATCAACTTTTTAGTATTAGTAAGGAGGAACAAGTGAGACATAGGTACAAAATATATCATGTTCTGAAAAGTCATTTAACTTATCATCTAATTAATATTTTACAAAACTTTTTTTTAATAATTGTCATAATTTTGAATTATAATTTATAATATTTTTTATTTAAAGAAAAAATTATTTTATTTTTAATTTAAGAAAAATAATTCAAAATAGCTATTTTATAGAAAAAACTACAAAAATATTTTATTAATATACAGTAGTTAAATTTCCATAGTGTTATAACTTTTGTTAATTTGAATTTTTGTAAATGTTAATGAAGAAGACATTAAATTACAATTAACATGTGTTAATTTATGGTATTAAGAGTCTATGTTGTGAAGAAAAGTTCAGAAGAGATCTTATGATTACTTAGATAATATTATTTGTCTCGTTATTTCTATTATAGGCATACATCAGAGCAAAAGTAGTTTTCATGGAAATAATTCAGTACTTCTAACCAATATTTAGTATGAATTTGTTAACTTCTGTCCTTTTCTTCACAACATAGGCCAACTCTTGATAACTCTTGACCAAATTTTCATTACTTCATATTAAAATTACACTTCTTGAATGTAAATTTAACAAGTATATTAAAATTATCGTACAAACATTCTTAGAATTTTTTTATCATTTCTTACAGTGATATGATTAGTTTTTTAGCTATTCAAACAAAAAATATGTTTTTTTTAATTATTGATTACACTATTTAGAAAAATTAGTTTCTTAGAGATGGAAAAGAAAAATGTTTTGTTTAAATCTTTATCTGTCCTTAAATAATTTTCTAACTTTCCTAGTTTTTAGTTTGCAATTAATAAAATTTAAATATTTGTAATATAAAATTATCCCTGGAGTTAGTTATTAGGGATTTCTTAATGCATATTGCGATTTATTAGGTATTCTACCCCCTATATTTTTATTTGATGATTCTTTCATGTAAATGTGTATATTGTTATTTATTTTTTAAAGTAAAGTATATTTTTCTTATAATTAACTTGATAGGTATCTAATTTATTATGAGAAAAAATTATTCCAAAGGTTAAATTTAGTGGTAACTTTTGAAAGATAAATAGGAACCCATTATTATTATTTAATATTAATAGAAAATGGTCCAAATAAAATGTTGACATGCTGATAACCAGTATTGTATTATTACTTTTTGAGATTTTAATATTTAAAGATTACGAATGGGGTAGTATTCAGCAACGTTTATTTTTTACTATTACACACAGATAAGAGTTCTTCTATCTATTTCAGTCATTTAAAATTTTATAAGGTTTGTATTTCTTGCATTACCATCTTCAAGTCTGTGTTGGTCTTTAAGCTAACATGTTTTAAAAACCTTTTACTATAGATGCTCAGATATTAATGTTTCTCATCATTTTTTATGAATTAAAATAAGTTTGTTTTTTGGGATTGTACTCTGATTTATACTATTAATAGTAAAAAATATTCTATATTAAAAATTGAGAATAATTCTATAACATTTAAAAAATACTATTTCAGACTTAAAATGGATAAAGAAAATTTATTAAAACAATCATCAACTGTTACTGACCAATTGTTATCTGTTAGCAGACAACTAGCAAATACTTCACAACAAAGTTTAGATTCACTTGACATTTTATGTAATATGAATTTTTCTAACTATTATTAAATTAAAATTAACATTTATATAAAATTTTATAGTAAAATCGTCTTCAACTGTACATAATATTAGCAATGAAATAAAAAACTCTAAAGGTGCATTAACACAGTCAGAAAAACTTCTTAATAAATATGGACAGCGAGAGACTACTGATAAAATATTAATAATTTTTGCTTTTGCATTCTTTTTATGTGTTGTAGCATACATTGTGCATAAAAGACTCTTTTAAAACACCAAATATTATTATATAATTGAAAAGGTATGCTTATGAAAAAATGTTTGACTGATCTTAATAACTTGTTGGTTTTAACATTCTTTTCATAAAAATTGTTTACTATTAAAAATGTTTTTAAAAAAATAATATTTTACTAGCTAATTTATATGTTATAATATCAAGTTTAAAAATACTATATTATTTATTTTTATTATTAGAAATTCATCTGGATATTAAAAAATTCAATATTCCAAATTTGTTATAATTTTATAAAAGTTATTTTTTAATTTTACTGTAAAAAATATTCATAATAAATTAATTTTTATTATAAAAATGGACTTATGAAGTTTATTCAGATTAACAAAACAGTAAGTTTTTTTTTTTTTGCTGATAAGTATTTTTACAATTTATAGAATGTAAAATTAGATAATTACATATTTCCTTAATTTTTTATTATAGGATGGAAGTGTCAGGACCCCCTTAAATGACTTACATAGACATACTCTCTCACCAGTTAGCTAATATTTAATAGTTTTAGTTGTACATTTTTCGATGTACAGTGTTGCTACAAAATAAATATATATAATAATAACCTAAAAAAAAAGATTTTACAATTTTATGCAAGTATAAGTAAATTTACAAAAAAATTTTCAATAGTTTCAACATTTTCCTCATTAATTCATGAAGGGAATACTACAATAATCCTTGTGCATAACTAAAATATTTTGTCTAGATTTTTATTTGATAATATATACTCACTGACAATTTAATTATTTTAGATTTTTAAATGGTTATAGGGCTGTCAAAATCTATAGGTACTACTACTATATACAATCTTGTTTAATAATTACTTGTATTTCTAAATAAATTATTTTTATTGTTTAGGCATTCCAGCGATTATAAAGGTTAAAAAAGTATAGATTAATCACATACATAGTATAAATCGTTATATAAATTTAACTGACTAGATTCATAAAACATTGACCAACAGGACATCCTGTCAATAGGAATAAACTGTAAAATAATTGATAAGATTTTTCTCGTAACATAAAGTTCATGCTATAAATGTTGATTATTGAACGAAAAATTATATCCGCTACTAATTTGCTGGATTTGTTTTCCTCATTCGATAACAATCCTCAGAATTTGTTATTTGTGTTCTTTCAATTACCTATTATTGTTTTATTAAATAGAGCTACTTTAAAAAAATTCTCTGAAAAATTAAACGATAAATAGAGAAAAGTGTATGCATTATTAAAAGAGGTTTGGGAGTACAACATTTAATGTATACACTAGAATTTAACTTTAACTGAAGACACACTAAAATAAAAGTTTCATTTTGTCACTTTTTTGTGTGAATATTAATACAAAAAATATATACATTAAATTTAAAGCAATATTAACCTTTAATGATAAATATCATGAGATTAGGTTATTTATATAAATGATTTATTTACAAATTTATTATCTAAAATTAACTATACTAATTTGAGGGTACCATCTCTACCACCAAGAATAGCTCTATGACAATATAGTTTATCTCCTTCTGTTTGACCTGCTCTGATTCCATTAAAAGAAAGTTTTAATTATTGTTTATCACTCAAAAACTTTTAAAAATGTATGATTTCTGCTTAAATTACAACATTGAGTAATTTTGAAAAAATTGAAAATGATAAGAACTTTTATATATATAAAAAACTAGTGTTCTAAAAAGACTGTCCTATAAATAAAAACTTCCTATCTTGTTTAAATTTAATATGACAAGATGTAGTTGTCCTTGATAAATGATTCTTCCGCAAAAATATTAACGTAATTCTTTATTAAATGGCATGTTAACTATAATTGAAAATGTGTATACTGTAAGGCATAACTTAATTGTCTTCCTCATTTTATTTCCTCATTGTTTTAATAATTTAATATTTCTATATTTTAAAATTCAATACGTATTTACAGGATTGTTATTTCAAAATTTTTAATTGCGTTAAATAATTATTTCTTTGGACATACAGTGGTAAAATACGTAGACAGTGTTTTCGAGAACTATTTCTTTATGAAATATTTATAAAAAAATAAAAATATCTATAAAAAAATTATCTTTTTCATAGGTATTTACTTCAATACTATTCATTACATTGTACTCAATAAATATTAAATAGTATGAAATAATTTCTATGTTTACTGTATACACAAATGTAAGTTCAAAAATAATATAAGCATTGTTTTTTTGGTAAGCTATTCAATATTGTGTACTCTTATTTTAAAATATAGGACAAATTTTATCAAAATAATAAAATATTTTTATGACAAAACTTGAAAATAAAAAAATAAGTAAATTCTAAAATTTCAATCCAGAAATGAACCAGATGATTTATTTGTTCTTGAACTTGCTACATTTATAACCTATTGTGTACGTGATATCTACTTTCTTTTTGTCTACATAATGATTAACATAAATCATTCTTTTGTCCTTGATTCTTTGAAGTATATACTATTGCATTATGAATTAGTACAAAGATAACAGAGGATGACGAATAACAATTATCTCCAATGTGTGTGTGTAATACACTACGTGTATAAAAATAAAATAATAAGCCTTACTATTTGTTATAGTAATTTCAATGTGAATATTTATCTTAATACTTTTGTTTATTAAGTTAATTGTCATTCCCTTTTAAAGTTGAACTATACGCATTTTTAACTATCAATAGGGGTCATTGTATTAATGTATAGCAATGTCCTCTGAGCACATCACATATCATCTTTCACTGTATAAATTCGGACTTTTTATACGTACTGAATTTATTAAAATATCGCTAGCAAAAATGTTATCAAAATATTAAATAAAAAAAAAAGGAAACTATATGATCTTTGATCCAAGATAAGTCTTTAGGACAACACTTAGAGTAAAGGGGTACCATCTTCTTAAAATGCTTAACGGACGTCCGTTCTTATTTTGAAAAGTTAATAGACATACACAGAACATGTGTATTAGTCCCTTATGAGTATTTTTGTTATTTAAAGTCTAGTTTTGAAAAAAACAAATTGTGTGTTTACCTTGGACTATTTTATAGAACAATTCATGAAGGCGTATACTATCAATTTTTAAATGGTGGTATTTTCCTGCAATCTTTAGAAGAAAAAATTTAATATTTTGTTTATGTATTTTTAGTAATTAAAATAATAGTTATCAACTCATTTTCAATATTTTTTATATCATACATTCGATATTATTTATATATATGTTTTAATAAAAACTTAATACATATTATAAAAATATAATTGGTGTAACTTGAAAAAAATGTTTGGGATCTAACTCAATTTTATTTCTTCGTAATAATATTTTTGTACAAATTTACATGTAATTTTCATAATTTAGAGCCTGTGACGAAATTTAAGGGAGATAAGCTCTTTCTAGATCCCCAGATTGTGTCTTTGCAAACATCTGCTAAAAAAAAAAATCGAATGCCTATTTTTAATATGATTAATTTGGTTCACGTTTTATAAGATGAATCACGAACCAAGTTATTAAATTTATAAGTTATTAACACGATAAAACATCTTTTAACCTTCCAAAAAGATGCCATTGTTTTTGATATTAAGTACATAGGAGATAAAAAAATTCTCGTTAAAACTACAATAACTTATAAGTAAATCTTTTGAGCTACATGAAAATGTAAATAGATCAAATTATTTTTTCTGGTTCAAATTTGTGTTAGTTGAAATAAATTAGACATCGAACTTCAGTTTTAAAAAATTATAATCCAGTAATATAAATTATTTCCATTAAATCTGAAAGCATTGTGGACTCTGTAGAATTAGGATCTTTGCAGGCAAAAAGTACAGAACTAGAAGCGGGGATTACATGGTGTCGACTGTTCCAAGGTCTGCAATACAGCCAGTGTGATATCTGCATATAAAATGCGACCGTAGCGAAGTGGACAACCACATAAATTTTACCTAGTGAAATTTTCGGAGTTCCATCCGCGACACCGCAGTTTTACTTGTGGCCGTTAAATCGCGCGCAATGAACCGAGTTTAGTGCGCGTCGAATTAGTCCACTCGTGTGTAACTCGATTATTTAGATATCAAAATTAATAGTCCTGTATTCTATTTTGTTACTCGCGTCTGTAGTCAACATTAGAATTGTAGCGCGCGAAATTTACGGAAATCGATTAACTTTTCGGTTCTGTGTAGATTTTTATTAAATCGCAGTAGTTCATTGATCACAGAGTAACTTCTTGCACTGATTCAAAGCAGCATTATGCGTATAGCGTACCAAACATTGCTGTTGGTGTTCATCGCCTCATTGTTAGTAGCTGTTCGCGGGGCGCCAATCTGGGAACAGTTGTTCGGATTGACGCAGCCACAGCAGCGATCCTTCCAAGACAACCGGCAAGGCAGATCTGGTGGTAATGAAAAGTTCAAAAAAACGTGCTGGGTCCTAAACCCAGATCCTTATGCGTTTCCAGGACAGGCTCCTTATCCTGCTGCGCCGTTATGCCCTTACTGAGAAAATCAACGAAATTACTACAACGCCATCAAGTTTAAACAACAGAGTGTATATATAATCGTGTATAGAATGTATCTATTTTATTATATTTTTATGTTTTTCCAACGACGTTATTTTATCGCCTCAGTGACAATTATTGAATTTTATACCGAAACTTTGTGAATTATTGATTATTCTAATTTATGTAAAAAATTAGATTTTTATAACAAGTGGTAGTTTTAAAAACGACACGTGGTTAAATAAATAATCATGAAACACAACTTTGTTTTATAACTGAATTTTAACGATATTTAATTCTTCAATTACTAAATTATAAAATAAATTAACGTCATTAACGTGACCAAAAAGAAAAATCTTTAAATAAATAATTTCTGTTAATAAATATGTTATATGCTGAAAACTATTAGCATGTACTCTGATTGTTTGGGAAGTGGTGTATAGCCACCAATAAAACTATGATAAAAATTATGATTTTTATCATTGCGTAAAATAAAGATATTATATGATATCTATAATAAAAGGAGTTAACTATTCCAAACTTTGTTACAATCCCCTTCAAAAAAATCAAAAAAACATAATAGTAAATGTATTTTTATGAAGAAACATTTTTAACGAGGGAAGAAATTATTTCCGACCACCAAAACAATTTTTTTCAAATTGTGCGCATTAAATAATTGATGTTAAGAGTGTCATTTGATTTTAAAGACAGACGTATTTTAAACGGTCTACTTTACATTAAAACATTTACATTGATGACCCTTTTTTCCAATTAATTGAAGGGTGTAGTGCAACGACGTGAATTTGATTTTATCCGTGTAATTTAGTATAAAATGGGTTCGATACATAGATAGGGATAAGGGAAAATGACTCCCTAGGCCATATTTAACAAAAAATTATGTATAGCATATAGTACATACGTAATATTTATTAGAAATAAACGTTTTATTACAAAAAAGATAAAGATGGATATTTAAATGCAGTAGGAAATTATGATATATGTTATAAAAAATTTTGAAAACTTTTAGTAGCATCTATGACTATAATTTTCTGACATGAACCATTTCATATCGCAAAAATGTTAGAGACATATTGTCATAATGGTACAAAATTATAGTACCTTAAGAATTTTGATTTAAATTTATAAATGCATATCGAATTAGAAATATTAGTCAATAATACTTAGAAGACTTTATTACATCAATAAGTACAAAATATAAAATAAATTTAAGTATTAAAATAGATGTAGCAAAAAGAAAATACTTTTTAGAACACATATTCTGTGTAAATTTCTTTTAGGAATATTTGTAAAAGGTAATTTTTACCCACACATTCCAACTTTTTAGAAAAAAAAGCTATAAATTCTATTTATAATTATAAAATAATTCATCTAAACTATTGAGATCATTTGTAATACAATTTTAATTTAAATATATAACTTAAACAAGTAAGAGTACAAAGGTATAATAAGAAATATTACAATTTTCAGGCTAAGTAGCTTACAGTAGTCAAATAATTACTAATATTCAAATATTACTTAAGGAAGAGTCTTATTAAAAGAAAAGTTTAAAATTATCATTTATTTTTTCTTGGTCTTCCTCGTTTACCTTTTGAAGGTTGTTGTGCACGTTTAGCTAAACATACAGGGCAATACCAAACAGCACAGTCTGGTGGACATTGGATACCTACACAAACCCAATGATACCAAACATCACATCCATCACAACCAATCATTGGACTTCCATCATCTTGTTTAGTACACATAGGACATATCCAAACTTGGTTACCTGCTTCATCATAATAGAATGCTGGAGGTGGTTGTTTTTCTGATTTTGTAGTAATAGATTGAGTTAATTTAGTTGCTATTTTAACTTTTATTTTTTGGCTAGGAATTTTTGGAGGAGTTATTACATCATTTAAAATGTCAACAAATACATCCGATTTTTGTTCTATATTTGTAACATTGTCATCTACTTTTATTTGTTCAATTTTTGGTTTTGTTGATATATTTTCAACAACTGGATTAATTATTGAATCATTTTCTTTAACTGTTTCAATTGGCATACCTAATTTTAGTTTAATTTTTGGAACTTTTTGAGAAGATTTTTCTTTTTTCTTTTTCTTTTCCTTTCTTTCTTTTTTCTTTTCCTTCTTTTTCTTTTTTAATTCTTTTTTGTTAATTATTTCTGTTTCAATTTCTGGAATAATTGGTTGCACTTCAGGTATTTTGAGTTTTAAAGGAAAAGTTGAAGGAATCAATCCAGGACCTTGAGGTAAAGAGCCAAAAAAAGAAAATTTGGGTAAAACATCTTCTAATTTTATACTACTAGTTTGTAATTTAGAAACTTCTTTAATGGGACTTTCTACTCGAATAGGACTCTTTACTAATTCCTCGTTAACTGCTATACTTTGTGGTTCTTTAATGTCTTTTAATACAGGTACTTCAATTGGATCTTCTTTAAGCTTTTTATTTTTTATAAAAACATTTAACTTTTTCTTATTTTTCTTTTTTACTGGAGAATTTGAATTATTACTTAAACTATGTTTTTTATTTGATTTAGATTTGATTTTTTTAGTCTTATTCAATTTTTTCTTGCTAATCAATTTTTTTGGTAATAATTCAGATTTTGTTTCAGTTATAGCAGACAATGTAGAATTTTTTTCAAAATTTTCAGTTTTAATACTACATAAGGGTAACAATTTAGATTCTGCTAACTTACCTTCTCTAGATGGTGATAAAAAACCTCCAGATGTCATAACAACACTAGAAATTTCTCTTAATCGTTTGTGCATTATTTCTTCATCAGATTGCTCGTGCTTAATAATTTTAACTTCTTGTTGCTTTTCTTTTTTATTAACAATTTGTTCTTCTTCAATTTGTTCAGAGTATAAAGTAGGTAAATGTTCATGAAAATGTATTGGTCTAGTGACAATTTCTCGGCTGCCTGGTTTCATAATATTAAAAGTACTTTTTCCAGAAATATTTAATGGTGGTAATGAATGAGGGAATTTCACTGAACCAGTTTGTTTTATGTATCTTCTGAGTTCTGCTAAGGATATACGTTTTTGAAGAAAGGCTTTTTCGACATCATTTATTCCTGGTACTAAGCAATTATTATGTTCTGAATATTTTTTAATTTGTACAGAAAGGTCTACAATGTAATGATGAAGCATATCTCTCATTATTTTCATTGAGGAATCTGTAATTGAGTGCCATCCAATATTATCGCATATTTGAGCGACAGAAATAGCCAAAGTCTGATTGATGAACTCGTCGGCCATAACTATTCAAGACTATTAAACAATTTTATTTTGTTAATACTAATGTCAACTAGTTTTTTAATAACAATATTTAAATAAATATGCAATATTTTTCAAAATGATTCAAAATTTGAATTCTTTTACAGTATAAACAAACTAAACGCTTCTAATCACTAACGTTTTCATATCATGACTTTTTTAATTCAATCATGGATTAAAAAAATAGATAGTCTGAAATTTATATGAGAGATAACAATATGGTTATTTTTGATACATGATAAAGGCTAATTCAGACATGAGACAAATTCTATTTTATAAATTTGGTGTAATTGGAAAGACATACAAAAACTGTAATTTATAGTAATTTTTAAAATAGTTACTATTGAACAATTATTACTATCGTTTTAATAATATATTTATTAATTACACTATTATATATTTTTTTAGTGTCTAATAAATGACCCAAATCATTTTTTTTAATCTTATAGTATTTCAATTTTTTTTAAATTTTCTCTCATAATTTCAACTATTTTTTTTAATTATTTGAATTTTGCGAGCTATTAATTTTAAGCTATACTAATCATGACATCAAGACGTATATTTACTACAAGCTCTCAGTTTCACAAGATGTTTATTAGTTTTAAAAATGGATTAAATGTAGCACATTATTCAAGTTCAACCATTCAAATGTGTGACCGTAAGTATGATCATTATTTTTATTTTTTAACAAATTATTACAGATTGTTTGAATCTTATAGTAACTTCACCAGCAAATAAACAGTTAAAAATTTTTCGTCATTTAAAGTGCTTTATTAAATAATACTTTAAGGTCACACTCATAAAGTTAATAAATATTTGTTTTCTGGACAATTTTGTATAATTATAATATAAAATTATTTATAATTAATTAATACAAAAATTTTGAATAACTATATAATAATATCTTTAAACTTTGAATTTTACAGTGAATAAACAGTTAATGATTATGTATCAAAATTGTAATTGATGTATTTTCCTTGTTGTAAAAACTACTATCTTCAACTTATTAAAATCAGATTAGAAAATGTTTTTTTTTTTAACTCATTGGTGATCATTTTACTGGTGATATTATCATACTACTATTAATAATAAATTTTTATGTTTGAAAAATTATAAACATTTTTAAGATTTGAAAAGTTAACTTCAGTGTTTTTAATAACTTATAGGAAAAAAAAAAATACCTAATTGATTGTCTATGACAATTATGTATGATTAGCAAAAACTGGTTAGTGTTCAAATTACTGATGCTGTTGTTCTATTATAATAATTGCATAATCTTAAAATTTATTTAAAAATCATTTTAAGTTTTAATTGTAAATAATTGAAAGTTATGTATATCATTTTAAAATTTTCCCTTCCACCACAGGGCTCTACATAATATAGCATAAAATATTTGAAATTAGCTTGAATAAAATTGAACTATTTTAAGTTATTGTCATTTTATATCCTAAGCATAGAAAATTTTTAAAGAGTCTAATAACTTTTAGTTTCTTATCTTATGGTTATGTTTTATTCGTTTGTCATGTTTTTATTTACACTATTTTATTTTAGGAAATATTACTAATGATATAAGCAAAATGTTTTTTTCTGGGCCCATACAAGAAATCTTAGTTGATCTTACTCATGTTGATGTACAAAAAGCATTCAGAAAAAGACTAACTGGGCAGAATCCTTCTATTCCAATGTACAAATTTATGACAACTTCTGAAATTAATAAAGTATATATTTGCTTATTAATTTATAATAATTTAAAATATATTTTGATTAGTTTAATTTTAAATTTGTTAGTTACAAGCTGAAATTAAAGAAAAAGCAAAAAAAAAATTACAAATGCCTCCAATTGTACCATTGAGGAAAGATTTAGGAGAAGTTTTAAATATTGATAAAGATATAGTTGGTTTTGACAATTCTAAATACTTATTTACTGATATTACATTTGGAGTATCTGATAAAGTAATTTTTTTCATAAATTTAGTTATTAATATTGAAATTGTTTTAATAATCATTGATACATTTCTGTTTAGAGTCGTATTATAGTAGTTCGAGAGCCTGATGGAACCTTACGGAAAGCCAATGCAAATGAGCGCCATACAGCTAATCAAATATATTTTCCACAAGCTGGAAAAGAGCTTAAACATCCAGTAATGTTTAAAGATGAAAATTTATTGGTAATATTGAAAAATCAAATTAGTTAAAAATAAATCTTATAATAGTATTTTATCATAGTAAATTTAATCAAATTTTGTTTTAGCCTTTACTTGAAAATGGAGATTATGAATTCATACTTGATAGAGCCTGTTGTCAATATGAACCTGATGACCTAAATTATCATAATGTGGTTTTTACTACTTACAAACATATTGATTTGAAAAAAAAATATTCTGTTCTAGAATCAACCAGACATATAGGACCTCTATTATTTTATTTAGCACTCAATAAAAAAACTGATAACTTCTTAATATATTGTTTTGAAACAGATAGGTAAACCATATTATAATATCAATAAGTTAAATGTTAAAGTTTTGTTACTTTGAAGAAAGCATAATTACAAGGGATTCATAAGGTTCAGACTCCCCATGTACCTAAACTCATAGTAGTGAAGGTAATAGTGATACATTTCCTTACAACTCTGTGTTCTAAAAACTATTAGGATTCCATTTAAAATTTCTAAATACAACATCTTAAACAAAATTAAGAAAACATTTGTTTTTTTTAAATAATTATTATAATGGAGAGAATTAATGAAAATTAGTCCTCAAAAAAATTGTTTTCCTTATGGATTTAATTGAAATAAGTGTTAAGTATCTCCTATAACTTTATTAAAATATTAGTATTTTAATATCAACATATCAGATTGAAAAATATGAGACTTATCTCAAAAAAAATTTGACTTGGGACATTATTAAAATTGAATAGTCTTTCTTTTTTGTAATAATTTATTTATATTTAAAATATATCACATGTTATAATATTCAAAATAATTTATTTATTAGATTAGATGATGCCATCAACTTTATTAAATTATACTCAAAAATTAATAAAACAGTAGAAAGTGAAATAATAGCCAAAGAAAAACAATTAGATTTCATCAAGGTAAGCTTTGAAAATTTTTTGAAAAAATACCTATTTTTGGTATTTATTTTTTAATCTTATCAAACTACAATTAAAATTTAAAAAATGATATTTTTAATAAATTATTTATTTTTATTTTATTTTAGGATTTTATAAATAATCATTGTCAAGATAAAACTTGTGTTGAAGCTGCTTTCAATAATTGTATTAGTATTTACAGTAATGCAGAACATGAAGTTGTTAATTAATTATTTTTTCATAATATTATATTTTTATAAGATAATTCTTATAATAGTATATTATAAAATAGATTATATGTACATATATATTTAATATCACAATGTAAAATTTTAATATGAAAATATTTTTTATCAAACATTTTGAGCACATCTAAATCCTAAATTTGATGCTGAACTATCTGCAGTATTTTGACTTCGTGCAGCACATCTGTATCGATAGCAGTGGTCTTTGTGGCATAAGTATGAGCCTCCTTTCTTTATTTTTTCTTTTCCATTATGAGGACCTTTCTAAAATTATGTGTATAGTGTATAAGTATCAATTTCCTAAGAAATAATAGATAACATAATATGTTATATATAATTTTGAAACGCTCCTATCCCTTAAAAGATTAATTTAAAAAATATTTAAAATACATTTACTTTAGCATTTAAGCCTAAGTTTAATGTAATAAAAATATATTAATACGTTGTGCCAAATTACTGAACAAGTATGTTTCTACTTTAATAAAGTAATAGTAAATATTAACAACATAAATTTTTGGCCTGGTAAATCAATTTGAAGCCCTTATCATCTTTTAATTTTCATGTAAAACTCAATAATATACTCCTAAACCAGTTATCCTTAATTGTCTCAGTGTCATTAACTGTACTTAATTAAGTATAGTTAAATCAACTATTTTTCAGTCTAAATTAAGTTTTTTTTATTATTTAAAGAATTGAAGTGATCAATTAAAAACAATATGTTCAATGTTACTGGATTTTTAGTAAACTTTTGAATATGGTGAGTATTCCAAAAGTCAGAAGTCCATTCCCATACATTCCCAATCATGTTATATAAGCCATAGCCATTTGGTATGAATTCATTCACTGGTGCTGTAGTAGCCCACCCATCTTCAACAGTATTCTTAATAGGGAAATCTCCTTGCCATATGTTTGCTCTTAAACATACAGTTTTTTCAATAATTTTATAAAAAAAAATGGATACATTGATATCTACCTGTGTTTGTTTTTGGGAAGTAATTTATTTCCCCATGGGAACAATCTATTTTTAAGATTACCCCTACAAGCTACTTCCCATTCTGCTTCTGTTGGTAATCTTTTACCTCTCCATTTACAAAATGCTACAGCATCATTCCAGCTAACATGGACCACAGGGTGCTGTTTTCTTTCTAGTTTTATAAATTACTTATAAAATATTATATAACAGAACATTAAAAAGAATCACCATTAATATCAGAATCCAATCCTTCGGGATGTAACCAATTAGCACCTTTAATTGGAACCCACCATGGAGCATCTTTCACAGATTGAGCAACATTCTTTAAAACATTTTCACTTACAAACAGTCGAAATACGAATGAATCACCAAATTTTTCTGCTTCAGTTTTATAACCAGTAGAATCAATAAAAAGTTTAAAATCTAAATTACTAACTTCAAATTTATCAATAAGGTAATCATCAAGATAAATTGTACGTGTGGGAGATTCTCCATCAGCTAAAATAATTGGATCTGAAGTTCCTATGGTAAAATTACCACCTGTAATGTATGCCATCGATTTCATAGAAATATTGGTGATTTTTTCATCTATACTACACAATTCCATATCTACAGTTGTTTTGTCTCTATCATTACGGCAACTACAGTCAGCTACTATATAGCTAATATTTATTGAAATAAGAACAAAAAACAAATTTAATTCCATAATTAATTTATATAATTACTGATATTTCAACAAGTAATTAATATTCATAAAAATAAATAATTTACAAGTGATATTTCATGCTATTAAAAATTGTATTACAATTAATATAATTCATTTTGGAAAATAAGTATAACTTCATGTATTTTTAAAATTACCAAAAGAAAACTGTCAGATTCATTCATTTAATTACTGATGGGTTTAATTTTTGGTATCACTCTATTAATCTAACTATATACAGTAATCTGTTCTAATCAAAGCTGATATCATAAAATGTTCTGGAAGAGATTATTTAGTATATTTTTAAAATAATTTGTTTATTATTTCATGAATATTGTACTTCACATTCTTTAATCCAGACTTATCTATGGAGTAACCTAAAAAAAAATAATGTTTTATTCAACTTTTTGGCGGTAAATGCAGGCATTATTGATTGTTTTTTCAATTGAAAAGCTATTGTTCTGGACTCTAGTAAATATTATAAGTTGTGATATTGCTCTTTACAATCAATTATTAAATATCTGAGTTTGCTTAAATATTATTAGACACAATAAAAATATAAACTGTTATCATTGTACATTAATAATAGTACAATCTCAATTATTGAACATTAACTGTTCCGTCTGTTAAAGATTTATATAAACTTCGTTCAGGTGATATTTTTCAGTTAAGTTCATAAATTTATTACATAAGTATACGATTTAATTGTATATACAGTATAGTTATTAATTAATTGTTTTTTTATGATTGCTAAAAACTTCTATTTTACAAATTTGTCAACTTTTTGATCTAATTGAAAGAAAATTGTGATTAACTTCTATAATTGTAATATCCTATAAATTTGAACTGAACAATTTTTTGTTAATTTGTAAATACTGCATTTTTTTAAAATTAAACTTATGATATACAGTGTAGTTCCCTAACAAAACTCAATTTTTTTGAAAGAATAAGATTAAATATAATTTTATCAAAATTTATTAATTTAATACACATTTAAATTATCAGAAAAATATAACCTTATTCTTTGTTCCCTTTTCTTTAAATTTTATCATTAGTTTTTTTTAATAGAACCTAGGTGTGTTATTTCACATTATAATTGGCTGGAGAAAATTTTTGAACTGCCCATCATTTCATAAAATTGCTTGCAAATTATCCCATTAATATATTCATAAATCTTATATATACAAAACAACATCTATTTTCAAAGAAAGTCTGTATTACTTCTTTTATACATAATATTAACATAAATAAAATATAATTTTTTTAATGTTTATGTTAGTTTGAAGAATTGAGTTTTCTAATGAAAAAAAAGTAGTCTGTGTTATGAGTATGTGCAAATGAAGTGAAATTTCTTTCTAAGTCATTCAACTGATAGAATATTAGGTTTATATTGGAATATAACAAAAAAAATACACCTAAAAATTTTATTTTCAATTGAAATTATTTAAATTTATTAATAATTTTATTGTCTTAAAAGATATAATAGGTTTAATATAACTGAAATTATTTATGTAAGTTTTTGATTGGAGATTATGAAGATATTGTGTAAAAATTGCATTGTAGTTATTCAAAAAAATTTTATGCATAACATATATGTTTCCATTAAAACCCTAAAGATACTTTTGTGTGTAATTTTATTGTGTATAACTTCCAAAAAGAATAAAAATTACATTTTATATTATATTCTTTATGATATTGCAAGAGACATAGTCAGCAGGTCACCTTTATTAACATATCTAAAATACTAAACAATTGTGTGGTTGAATCCTATCTATTTTTTTTGTATTTCATAATTTTAATATGTAAAATGTTAGTGTTCATATTTCTTTGCTCAATCATAGCCTACCACAATTTAATATCTATCATTAAATAATGTTGGAGAAAAAGCTTTCTATTTACCTTTTAGCTTCGATGCAAAGCTGAGAAGGTATTAATTTTACTATGATGTGTTTTTTTTTTTTTTTTAATTATACTATGATTATTAAAAATTTTTATCGTTTTTTTTCTTATAAAAACTAATTAAGCAAATTTTCTTCTATAGAATTTAATATGATGGATGAAGATATAGAACAAAAAATAAGAAGTATTCAAAAGGAGTATTTGAGTTTCTTAGATGACGAAGAAGATCAAAATGTTTATCATAAAAAAGTAAAAACTATGATTGATGAGAAATCTCAAAGATTACTGATTGACATAAATGATTTGCGTAAAAAAAATCCAGATAGAACTCAAGCTTTGTTGACTAATACATTTGAAGAACAATTTGCGTTTGAACGTGCACTTAAAGAATACATTGCTAATATTGATTCTACCTTTGCTAACCAATATGATGAATTTTTTGTTGCATTTGAAGGTAGTTTTGGAAGCCGCCATGTTACCCCTAGAACATTAAGTAGTAAGTTTTTAGGTAATTTGGTATGTTTAGAAGGTATTGTCACAAAATGTTCTCTTGTCCGACCAAAAATTGTAAGGAGTGTTCATTTTTGCCCAGTTACTAAAAAAACCATTGAACGTCGTTATACAGATATGACTTCTACTGCAGCTTTCCCATCTAATGCAGTATATCCTACCAAAGATGAAGATGGTAATCCTTTAGAGACTGAGTATGGTTTATCTGTTTACAAAGACCATCAGACTGTTACTATCCAAGAAATGCCTGAAAAAGCACCTGCTGGACAATTGCCACGTTATGTTGATATTATATGCGATAATGATCTTGTTGATTGTTGTAAACCTGGTGATCGTGTTCAAATTGTTGGTAGTTATCGTTGCTTACCAGCAAAGCAAGGAAGTTATACGTCGGGAAATTTTAGAACTATCCTTATAGCTAATAATATTTCACAACTAAGTAAAGATTCTACATATTCTATAAGCAGAGAAGATGTGTTTAATTGTAGAAAGTTATCTAGAAAGAAAGGTGATATTTTTAATTTATTGGCCCGCTCTTTAGCACCTTCAATTCATGGTCATAATTTTATTAAAAAAGCTATTTTATGTCTCTTACTTGGAGGAATTGAAAAAGTTTTGCCTAATGGTACTCGTTTACGGGGTGATATTAATCTTTTACTTATTGGTGATCCAAGTGTTGCTAAATCGCAACTGTTAAGATATGTGTTATGTGCTGCCCCTAGAGCTGTAGCAACAACAGGTAGAGGAAGTTCAGGTGTAGGATTAACTGCTGCAGTTACTACTGATCAAGAAACTGGTGATAGGAGATTGGAAGCAGGTGCTATGGTTTTAGCTGATCGTGGAGTGGTTTGTATTGATGAATTTGATAAAATGTCAGATATGGATCGAACTGCTATTCATGAAGTGATGGAACAAGGTAGGGTTTCAATTTCTAAAGCTGGTATTCATGCTAGGTTAAATGCAAGATGTTCAGTATTGGCTGCAGCTAATCCTGTTTATGGTCGTTACGATCAATACAAAACTCCTATGGAAAATATTGGTCTACAAGATTCATTATTATCTCGTTTTGATTTATTGTTCGTTATGTTGGACTCACCTGATAGTGAAAATGATAGGTTAATATCTGAGCATGTTGTACGAATTCATAGATATAGAGATCCTAAAGAACAGGATGGAGAAGCCTTACCAATGGGATCTGGTGTTGATATTTTAAGTACAAGGAATTTGGAAATTGATGAAAATGATCCATCTAAAACGCGTATGTTTGAGAAATATGAACCTTTGTTACATGGACCTCGTAGCAAATCTGAACAAATTTTAAGTAGTCAATTTATGAAAAAATATATTCATATTGCAAAATGTGTGAAACCTGTTCTAACAGAAGAAGCTTCTGATGTTATTTCTGAAGAATATTCAAGGCTTCGTTCTCAAGAAGCTGTTGAATCTGATACAGCAAGAACCCAACCTGTAACAGTTAGAACATTAGAAACATTAATTCGGTTGGCAACAGCCCATGCTAAAGCTCGCTTATCTAAAAATGTTGAACAACAAGATGCTCAAGCAGCTATTGAACTTGTCCAATTTGCATACTTCAAAAAAGTATTAGAAAAACCTAAAAGAAAAAGGCAGCATAGTGATGAAGAATCAGATGGTGAACATGAGGAATCCCCCAATAAACCACCAAAAAGAAAGCCCAGAAAAAATAATGAAGATCCTTTTGCATTTGATGATGAGGAAATTGAAAACGAACATGATGTTATGGAAGTTGAAACTGATGATTCACAAAATACTAACCAACCTCCGCCTATTCAACAAACATCAATTTCTCCTGATAGATACAAAATATTCAAAACTTCATTGAGTAATGTATTCCAAAAGCTCAGAGTTCAGTCTTTAAGTTTTACCCGCATGTTTAGTTTGATCAATGAAGAACATATAACTAATTCTTTCAGTGAAAATGAAGCTTATGCAGCTATTTACAAAATGATGGATGCTAACTTTATTATGTTCTCTGATGGAATTATATTTTTAATATAACTCATATTTTCAATCACATGTTTGTGAATTTTTTCAAATTTAATAATTATACAATATCTATTTAAAGAAGAACATAGTCTAATTTAATAACTGAGACTTAGTTCGATTAATATATATTTTATTTTTAATCTTATTTTTATTTTACAATAGTTATTTTTTATTAAAAATGAATATGTATGATACTGAAATAGAAATATTATTATTCTGTAAAAACATCATGTTAGTTTAACTTTTTGATAAATTATTTATTGTAAGCCTTAACTTAATAATTTTTTTTTATATAATAATAAAAGTAAATAATATTGACAAATTTTCTTATGAGCTTTTTTTCTTGAAATTGTAAATTACAATGTTAATGTGTATGAGTGTAGTGAAGTCAATAAGCATACAAATTGCTGATGTGTTTTCATTAGACTACATTTTTACAATATTCAAAACAATTATCAGGCTACATCAATTATTATGTGGTCTCAGGTGGGATTTCTTATGAGAATTTCTATAATGTACTTAAATCTTTTTAGTATGTACCAGATGAATTGTCTAGTATATTGGTATCAAACTAACAATAAATTTTAAAAACATAAGGAACAATTTAAACCAAAAAGTTTAGTAAATAATTTAAATTAAAAATTCTGTGTTTGACAGACTCGTATTTATGAAAGAGACGAATTTTTTTATTTTTTGTTCATATATCCTAGTTTAAGTAAAAAATTATTATTTAAATTTTAGACCACTTCATTCTCCTCTTAAAATATCTGGTAGTGTATATAAAAACTAGTAATTGTTATAAAAAGCTGCTAATGGTCAGACGATTTTTAGTTTGTTAAGTTTATGATATCCATTTTGAGGCATATTTGCACTAGAGATGTACAAAAAGTATCGATGTTCCAAATTTTTTAATCATGTTGTCTACATATATTACTAATCAATATATAATTAGTCAATATAAATAAGACTGGGAAAGTTCTTAAATATAGAAATAAGCCCTATTAAAAAAAAAATTAATTACCTTTTGACTTTGTCAGCGTAATATAATTAAAAATTCCTTTTTATTAGTTAGCGTTTTTAGACTATAAACGTTTTAGAAGTTTTACCAGGAATATAAGTGAAAACACATGATTTTAAAAACATTATTGAATATCACTAATATTTTTATAACTATGAGCAAAGGTTAAACTACCCTTGTTGTTATAATACAAATGTTGTTAGTTTAACTAAGTAAACTTTATAATTATATATAGCATTAGTTATAAATTATTACTAATAAAGTTAGTTACTTAAGAGTTTTATATTGTCTTTTGTAAAAGTTCGTATTTCTTGTTTCTTTTTTACATAAGCTTTTAAAATTTTTATTTTTTAAGATACGTGATTTTAGACAGTAACCTGTTAAATGCAATTGTTGTAAAAGTTTAAATTTTAATAAGGTCAGGGGAGTATTTAAAAATTTTAAATGAAGGGTATCAAAAATAATATTTTTTTACTAATTTAAAGCCGACTTAAGGCTAAAAAAATAAAAATTAGCTCAACAAACATCAGTATTGTACGGTTTTAATGGAATACAATCCCTAATTTTCAAATAAGTCATACAATTGAAGAATAAATTTATAGTTGGCCAAATATATGTTCTTTATTTAGCGATGTAGAAATGTTTTCTCTTTTAATTATGAATATGACCATTGGAAAATATTTGGTAAAATTTTTAGAGACTAGATTCGTAATTAGTCCTTTTAAAAATTTGAAAAAGTAATCTGTGGATAGTTAAAATTGTATTAATAATTTAATAAAGTTTTGATCAAGGGTCGAAGCCTCCTCTTCAATATCTGCAGTGTTGAATTTAGATTTTTTTTCTAGGGGAAACTAAGCAATGTAATACTTTTCTTTTATTATAGTTTTATAAAAATTTCTAAAAAAAAATTATGACAAAAAAACCGTTTTTAAATAAATATTAGTTTAAACATCGCAACACATTTAAAAAGAAAGCTATATTATCATTGTTACCCTAAATCACCAGAGTTCCCCTATAGCATACCTGGATTTCAACATTAAATATTCATTATAGGTACCAATTGAAGGAAGGGGTATTGCCTTTCTTAACTTTAAGAATTATTACATAAATGATTATATCAAAAAAAATTATGACGTGGGAATTATAATAATGAGCTCTACCAAAAATTTTGTTGAAATTGTACTTAAATATACACTTTAGTTATACTATTTAAATACACCAGATACACGAAATTTTATAAAAAACATTTGACTATGTAACTTTTGAGTCCTCTCCATAAATTAGTGGCGTTTAAGAAATTTTGTTGGAGTGTACAGACCTATGACCCCCCTCCCACGGTAAATACATCCGTAATTATGTAAGTGCACTCGTTATGATGCAAATGAAATTTTTTTCATGGTAGCCTAAAGATCTTGTTTATCAAAAATTAATTTATTTTTAGTTGTATATTGGAAAATTTGTCGTAACGAACTAATTAAAAAAACGCCAAAATATCGGTCTGTCGTAGTTTCTTCAGTTCTTGTTAACGACAATGGTACTAGATATTTACAAGTGTAATAGAAGTATAGAATATAAATTGTTCTAAAATTTACAATAGTTTAAAAAGTCTTATCCTTTTTTAAAAACATAAAACTGTTTATATCACTTAAATAATACGAAAAAAAAAAAGAGGGAAATTTTGAGGCCAATCACATCGTGTACGTTATTATTAATTACACGGTACTCGGTAATGATAGTTGCACATGTGATCGAATGATGTTTGATAATAAATTTAAGCTAAAATGTGTTACGTTTTATTTAACTAAATAATTTTTTAGATTGAACTTATAATTGAATATTTTTCTAGTGTTTTTGAACACTGTAAACTTATTTGTATTTTTATAAGAAATATTATAAACGTTTATTTTTCAAAATTAAAGAAATCTTTAGAAATTATACAAGACGTTAAAGAAGTACGCTAAAAAAAAACAAATTTATTTGGACGTTATTAAAATATTGTTTTTTTGGTCTTTTTGGGACTTACAAATTAGTATTCATTTTTTTTGTCAAAAGTAAATTGTTAAAGTTAAAATAAAATTCCTATTTTTTCATAGGTTATTTAAAATGGTAAAAGCTATATCAAGTAGATTTCAAGATATTTATAAGAAGTATACAACATCTGAAATAGCTAATACATCATCAAATAACCAACAAGAAATCTATATAGCTCCTGTTAATACTATAAATGTGGCATTGCCTAGACAACATAGATCAAAGTCAAAAAGAGTTTTTATATTTGATACAAAACAACTTTGTCAAGCTAAAGAAGTAAGATGGCCAATCTTAAGGGAAAAGAAAATTAGACCTTTTGTTGGACAATGCTGTTCAGTTTGCATACCAGTTAGTTTATTTTAGTCCATTGGTTTTTTTGCTGTCTGATATATTTCATTTTTATAATTTTTAGTATACAGCAACAGGTCATTTAAAAGTTGAATCAAATCTGAAAAATTTATTAGATATTTACAGTGTTGGATGTTTTCAAAAATCGTACCTTGGACCTCAATATGATGTTTTTAAATTTTTTTATTCTCTTAAAGCTCAGGAATATAAATACATTTTTGATGAAGTTAGTAAATATTTTATAATTTTTATTTATAATTATCTAACTGAAATTAGTCTAGGTGTTAAATGATGAATCAGTAAGAAAAACTATTGAAGAACTATCAAGAAAAAAATGTTCTAGTATACTTTATGATAATAGTGCATTAAATAAAGAAATAAAATTGTTAAAAGAAAAATCAAAAAATATTTTAGAAGTAATGAGTTCGAAGATTAAAAATTGGGTTTATAAGTATGTATTTTTATAAAAAAATTTATTTTAATTTTTCTTTAGTTAATTCAGACCAATTTTCAGAGTTATGGCATGGTTTGTATTTTGCTCACTCTCTAGATTGACAAAAAGTCTTGTTGTTCAACCCAGTCAAATTGAAAAAGTAAAAGAAGCAGAACAAAGTGGCTTGCCTATAATTTATTTACCATTGCATAAAAGTCATATGGATTACATACTTTTAGGTTTGGTTTTGACCATGTATAATATTAAGCCACCTTTAGTTGCTGCCGGTGATAATTTGAGAGTGTTTTTTTTTAGGTAAACTTAACATTTTTTAAATTTATTTTTAGGTAAAATCTAAAGAATATATTCATAATTTTTTTAGTAAGTTATTGAGTTGTTTGGGAGCATTTTATATAAAGCGAAAATTACCGACTAAAGATAATACAAAAGATTTGCTATATTGGTCTATTTTAACTAGTTATATTAAAAACAGTTTAAGAAGTGAACATCACCTAGAGTTTTTTTTAGAAGGTGCTAGAACTCGAAGTGGCAAATGTTGTGTACCAAAAGGTATTTAATGAATTTATTGTTGAATAGTAATTTTTGTATGTTTAGATAGCCCATAGAACTTTATTGGTATTGTGCCTTGATTTAAAGATATTAATACTTTATTATGTTCAATTGAGTTATATTAGTTTTTCCGTCTTTAATCCTGTTTATGTCTAAATATGTATTTTTCACTATTTCAAAGGAGGTCTATTAAGTATAATCGTTGATGCTTATCGACAAGGAGTTATTGAAGATGCATGGATAATACCTGTTTCAATAAATTATGACCGGTTATTTGAGGGTGATTTTGTAAGGGAACAGTTGGGACAACCTAAAGTGAAAGAAACATTTTATTCAGCTGTATCAACATTTCTTGGTGCTTTATGTTCACAGTATGGAATTATGAGGGTTGACTTTAATATTCCATATAGATTAAGGGTTAGTGTGATTCAACATTTGATGCAGTAAATTACTGTTTTATATTTTTTGTTAACTTTAAATTTAGGATTTATATGAATCAACTGATAAAAGGATAGTATTTGAAAATATTACAGATGTTGAAAATGATATAAGTATGTTTGAAAGTTCTAGATATAAATATGTAGTAGATGAAATGGCAAAACATATCATTATTGGTATTAAATAATATATTATATTTAATTTATTATTAAACTGAAAATATAATCAATAACAATGTTTAAGATTGTTGGAAAACTACTGCTATTATGTCAACAAATGCGGTAAGTTTTTTGTTATTAAAAAAGTATAGAAATGGTACAACAATTAGTCAACTCTCTAAAGAACTGACAAATTTGCGTCATAAACTTGCTCAATCAAATAGAGATATTGGATTTAGTGGTAGTTCAAGAGATGTAATTCTGTATACAGTGAGTTATACTATCATCTTATATAATTATTTACAAATTAAAAAAAACGCTTTTAATTTACAAAAAAATCCAATATTTTTTGGTATGTAATGATTATATACAAGGTGTTTATTTTAACTCTAAACATTTAATTTCATTTAAAATAAAAAGTTTATTCAACTTTATTTTTTGAATTTTGTTAGTTACATATGTATCTCCATTTATCTATTACAAAATAATTTTTAGGTTCATTCCTTATATCTTATAGGAATGTCAACTAACATTTTTAAATGGTAATATATGTATTAAACCAGCCTATAAAATAGTAAATGATCTAAGAAAATTACTGGTCAATTACAACTTTTGGACCAGTATTTCAAAAGATATTTACATTTTTATACCTAGAGAAGGAGTGTGGCCGAAAAATGAGTTATAAAAAAAGCAGCACTCATAATTCATCTTCTGCCTATATTCTAAAATAGCAAAAGTTGTTAATGAACAGTCATTTTCTTAATTAGATCATTTTCTATTTTATAAGCTAGTTTAATACATATGTTTCTATTAAAAAAATGAGTTTGACCCCTTTTATAATATACAGTGAATGAACCTAAAAATTATTTTATAACAAATAAATTTGTAACTAATAAAATTCATAAAAATATTTTTTTTAATTAATATACTGTTTTAAGAAAAATTGAGTGGTTAGTATTAATATATACACTGTATGTATTAATTAAGAGATTTTAGAACATGTATTAAAAAAATTTGTTAATATATGTATTTATTTGTTTTATAAATAAACATATTTGAACCTAATTATTTCAGATAAATCTTTTGGCTCCGAAGTTATTAGTTTGTGAAAATATCAAATCTGAAATATTTATTAAGCCTGTAAACAGTGTTAATAGCCTTATAGAGTTATCATACTATGCAAATAATTTATTATCACATTATCTTCATCAATCACTTGTTGGTAAGTGTATAATTTCTCTGTCTTTGTTTAATTTTAAATATTCAAAATTACAATAAAAAATAGAAGTTTAATGTTAATTTGACTTAAGTTAAGAAAAATTTGATAAACTAGATATTTAATGAACTTTACTACAAATTATGTAATTTACAGTGACATTATTTGTGAAATAATGCTCATTATTTATACATGACAATAATAAAAAAATTTTTTATAAAGTAGATTTTATGATGAATATTTTCAAAACTTATTAAAAAAAACTTCTTAAATCAACTACTTGTTTATTTTTTGTAGAGTTAACTATTTATGGTAGAGCAATGCCACACTAAGCANATAAAATAATACATTATATTAATAATACATTATATTATACATGAAATAATACATGACAATAATAAAAAAATTTTTTATAAAGTAGATTTTATGATGAATATTTTCAAAACTTATTAAAAAAAACTTCTTAAATCAACTACTTGTTTATTTTTTGTAGAGTTAACTATTTATGGTAGAGCAATGCCACACTAAGCATTCCAAATTACATCTATGTTTATCAACTCTCCATAAAACTAACTTTTGTATGAAAATACTGTCTTCATGTAAAAAGTTGTAAACATTTGTTTATGAGTAAATAAACATTTTTATTTCATTAAAAAAAATTGATCATTATCAAAAGTTCCTATGTCAATTTTTTGAAATTCTATTAAAAATCATTTACTTTAAAATTATTTAAAAATAATAATTTAATTACAAATCAACTATTCATACTTAATGATTTTGTTTATTCTAATTTTTTAGCCATTGTCCTAAGTTATCTAGTAGGATCAGAATTTTGGAATTTAACAGTCTCAGAAGTTTTAGTATCAAGACAAATACTTATAGATTGGCTTTTGTGGTTTATTGACTTACTAAAATATGATTTTGTATTCATTAAGCCATGTGAAAATATTGATAATTTAGTTGATTCAGTAATGCGAATTTTTGAAGAAGAAGAAATTATTATAACATTAGAGGTATTTTTAAATTTTATTTCAAGATTTCAATTTTTTTAACTTAATGTATATTGTTGATTAATTACAATTTTTTGTAGCTTCTAGATGAGGAAAGGAGAGGTCGAAATATGGCCAAATTTTTTGAGAGTGATTCTGAAGATGATTTTGATCAACCAACAGTTGATTTTAAGTACCATGTATGTGAGTTATTTATTTAGTATTTTAAACTATAACTAGACAAATTAATTTACTACATTTATATCTTATCAATGCTAGTTGAAAATATAGTGTATACTTTACATGTGAAAAATATTACTGTAATCTATTATTTAATGCCAAAAACCAGATATTGAAAATTTGTTAAAAACTTAATTAATTATTATCTCTATTAATTATCCAGTAATTAAAATTTTGGATTAGTGTTAAATTGTCTTATGAAAATTAAATAAAAAAATATATTAAGTCCTAATCAAATTAATCATTACTTGAATTTACACATTACTTTCTTTACTTTAATTTAAATTTCATAATTGAACAATTAATTTATATTTTTTTTAAAGGAAACTGTTTTAGTGGTCTCTGAATAGTTAACATATGTGATATTTAATTATCCAAAAATACTGAATGAAATTGCAATATTATTGATAATTTAAATAAAAGTATTGGGCAACCATTAAATACATTATTTTTATAGATTAAAGCTGATAGTAACAGTGTAGAAAAATTAAAGTTCCTTAGATCTATTTTAATGCCATTTTTGGAATGCATGGCCGAATGTGCTTATAGTCTTCAAAATTTATCAAATGATACAGCGAAAGAACATGAATTAATACAAACTATTCTCATTCAAATGCAAGAGAATCTTGCAGGAGGATTTTTAGTTTATGGTAATTTGAAATAGATATTACTTATTTAATTGAAATAATGTACTTTAATTTTCAATATTACTAAAAATGTGTATGATACTGTTAATTGTTTTTTATTTGTAGGTGAAAGTATATCAGTTGAAACTATTAAACATTCATTTTTATCATTTAAAGAATTTAATTGCTTAAGAGTAAAAATTGTTGATAATATTAGGATAATAAGTATGATCAATGATACTCGTGATGATCTCAGACCAAACATGGAAAAAATTTTAGATTGTTTAGAATTGTTTGTAAAGCACATAGATTAAATACTTAGTATACATTTTAATAAACATATGTATGTTTATATTAATTTTGTTTATATAATATGTTAATTATTCATTCTGACAGAGTATTAATTATTTTATTTATATTTGTTTATTTTAAATTTTCAAGTTATGACTAATGAGTTAGACCTGTTTATATTACTTTCAATTATGGCAATAAATGATGAATTTGATACTCGAGAATTTTTTATTTAATTAAAATTTTATATTATGTATAGAGCTTTCAACTACAAAAAAAAGTAATTTGATAGATAAGTTGAAAGTACTAACTGAAGTCTACTTCATATAGTTAAGAGATTATATTAAATTAAACTTTCTATTAAGGTGATTCTTTTTTGTGAGATATTGATAGATTCTTTATTTGGTCATTAAACATACATAAATATTTTATTCTGGTTATATGGTGTGTAACTTTTTTATGAGTTGTCATGACAATTTAAATTAGTTTGATAATCAAAATTTATTTATAGATATTATTATTTATATTACTCGAATTATGGTAAATATTATTAGTTAATTATGAATATATATTTACTACATCATATAATTTTTTTAGAGTTATCAAGATCACAAGTATCAGCGCCAGAGCATAAAAATTAAATCTAAAGTGGTCATAGATGAGTAAGTTTTATTGATAATATTAATAATTTCTGAATAGCATTAAAAATAAAAATATGGTTGAATTAATATAAGTATAATTTTTAATTCTGTTTAAATGTTAAATAAATGTTTTTTAACATTAATTAACCTTAAAATTTGAAAAATTCTGTAAATGGTATTTAATATTATATTGTCAATCTTGTTAGCATAAGAAATATTTTCAACCCAGTCTTGTTATGGGATTAATCATGTTAACTAGTATTTTATTAATCAAGTAGGTAAATCAAATAGTAAATACTTTGAATACTAAACTAGTGATTTCATTGGAACTTACGAAATTATTGAGTTGGTATATGAGAAAATAAAAATAATTTATATTTAAAAATTATATTTAGTTGATTTTATTTTGCAACTTGATTATGGAAATTTTATGGTTAGAATAATTTTTACAAAACTTAACAAATACAGTTAGTGAAACGGATAATTTTAAAATAACTTAAAAAATCAAAAATTAATTATTACCTAATTTTTTCATATGAAATGAAAGTATGTAAAAAATATTAAAATTGTTTCAGTTTTTATAAAAAAAAGAAGTTTTTAAAAAATGACAATGAAAATATATTGATATAATTGCGCATTTCCTGGAAAAATTATGTCACTTATATATTTTGTAAAAATTGTTATACCTACTGTGTGGTTACTTACTCATAGAAGTTAAATCAGGTAAATGGATAGCAGAGAATCAAGTACGTAATAGACTGGAATATTGGGAAATCCTAATCAGATTCCTTTGTTCGAACTAATATGTTTCCTTCTAAATACGCTACTGCTTATTGCTGTGGTATATTGATCATAACATTAAAACTATAGACCCTAATAATCAATTGCCATCAGGATTTTTTCTTGTTATTTTAAAATCACTCGTTTCACTGTCCCATTCTGAGTAAGTTGAATATTTGAATATTGTATTTTTTTAATTAAGATTAAAAGCTTATTCGAATGAAAATTTTACATAATAATACCGTTCCTTCATATCATTATTATAGATTATTAAAAAAATTTCTATTTATTCTACTCCTGATTTGTTTAAAATTAATTTTTAGTTACTGTTGTATGAAGGAATGCATAAACAACAATATATCGAAGGAAAAATTGTAAGTTTTTTTTTAAAGATGACACGCCAATTAAAGTTTAAATAATACACTTGTATTTATGGGAAATTCATACTACATTTTTTATTCTGTGCATTTTTTTCTTCTGAGGTCTTCACAAGCTAGTCATATTTGAAACTATGATAATAAATGACCCATTATTATCCTAAATCAACCTATTATTATTAAATTGGTTTAAAGCAAGAAAGTAAATGCAGTTGGCACCTCAGGCTTAAAATTTATTACTAATTTTTCCTACTTAGGATAATAATTTTTTATTACCTATTACTTATGAAAACAAATTATTTAAGTATAATAAATTTAAAACTATTGTTGAACTTATAAAATTTCGCTACTAATAAAAACGGCTTTGAAAAATAATACCTTTAAGATACGAGACATAATAAAATATTTTTATTTTTTTAATCTAGCCCAATTTTGTATGAAGGAAACAATGATCACTTTACTTGTAAATGGATGCCAGATATAATGAAAGATACTCTAGTTAAGATGGAAAAGGCAATGGGCATTGAAAAAGAGCCAATTTATTTTATTAGGAAGAAACAATTATGTTGTTGTAAATGTATATAGTATTTAACAAAAAAATAATGCGTATTTTAAAAGATTATTGATTTGTGTGTTGATAAAAAATGTGGTTAAACGATTGTAATTGCATTTAGACATTTTAAAATCCTACTACTTTTAGGAGACGCTGGTTTAATAACCAATAACGTCCAGTTTTATAAAATTTTTGGGAGGATAATAAATAAATTTACTTTATATTATGTAAAATGTAGCAAACGCGATGAGTTCACTTTTTTCTAATTCTTTGGCAAATTATCGGGCATGCAATCTGTACTGTATAAAGTCTTCTATAAAAGTGAATTTTTTCAAAAATGGACGTAATAGATTATTTTACTGGTGCCTCTAATTATAATTAGAGGCACTAGTGCAATAACCTGGTATTATAATTATAGTAGTTAAAGTTACAAACATTTGATGATAATACTAAAAAATGCTGTGATTGCTACTTAATTATGGTTGTTATAAAAAGAGGTGGGTTTAAAGTAAAATTTATAAAGATTCATCTAAAATTAATGACATATTATGTCTTTTATATTTATTTATTGGTATAATTAAAAAATTAGACGCCCCCTTGAAATGAACCAAAAATTGATCACTGTAGGTAGTACTTATCTCTTCAATGTGGCTCCGATTTTTAGATAGAAATTCACTAACCAACTTAGGATGATACACTTTTGTGATAGAAAAGTTCAAGGGGTATCACTTAGTTTTAATTTTACTGATCTATAATTTTTAAGTGATTTAGTTATTGATTCATGTTGTGTAATGAGATTTAATGAAGACAAAAAAAATTATAATAGCCATAAAAAACTTACACGTATCGGATGGTTTAAACGTTCCACTCAAATTGTCAAGTAACTCGTATAAAATACCTAGTTTTTAAGTAACTGTAACAATAATTTGGTATACGCTTCCCATTATAATCATATTTGCATAGAAATCTTCGTTGTCGTTTTTCACTGGTCTCTCCCTCTTAATATTGTGTGAGGTTTGTTAAATAAATGAACCGTGTAAGTACATTAATACTTGTTGCCACCAACGCGGTCACCTGCCAGGCTCGTACTTAGTTTTCATTATTTTGATGCGATGATGTCGCGATAGCATTATTGATAATTTTACTGTCACATCATTCGAAATAACGATGGAAACCTTGATGGTTGTATTTTTGTTGTTGGCGTGTACTGCTATTGCCGACCACAACTATAAGTCACTTCATGGAGATCACGGTAAGCACGTGATCATTACACATTATGGGCCTATTCAGTATGAGCCAGCTACAGAAGAGGACATGAGGGCGTTTGGATCACAGGGTTATTATAAAGCAGAAGTGATACCGTTGGACATGAAAACTTGGAAACCTATAAAACAAGCTAAACCTTCAATAGCTTACAAAACAAATATGATTGAGGTACCTATGCGCGTTGGCTATTCTGTTAGGCCTACTATGATCAGAAAACGCCGTCACGATTATCAAGTTCCTAGATACCCAAAATATTATGATTGGCCAGTCGTCATAGTAAGAAAATCCTCGATGCCAGGATGACACTTAGTAAGTTCTTCAAGAAAAATAAGTAAATTGTTCTATAATCTCTATAAAGATTTTAAACTTCATTTGTGTGATTTATTCTGAAGTTGAAATTTGATCAGATATAGAGATCTAACCATAAGCAAATTTTTAATTTTTTTGTAGCTGTCTTGAAAAATTAAAACTATTTTAAAAATATTATTTATTTAACTCTAACAAATATTAAAAATATGTGGTACTATTATTAAAATTTGTAGGTTTAAAATATGATGATTTTTTTTTTAATTGGAGGTAGAATTATAAACTGAACTATAATGCCTACAAGTAATTCTAAATTTATATTTACAGCTTTCTGAATAATAAATATATAAATTGAATTAACTTTATTTAATTAGCTTAATTATAATATATTTTAATCTAAATTATTTTTTAAATTGAAATCTCTCAAATTTAATTTAGAATCCTTTCACCTATTTTGTGTGAACTATTTTATCAAAAATACTTTGCTTAATTAATAGTTATCATTAGATGCAACGCGTGATATTATTCGTCAGACTTTAAAATATCCAGATTTATTGATAAGCATATTTTTATAAGTATCGGTATTTTAAAGTTACATAAAAAGACTATACACACGTACGTCAGCAACGTAGGAGTACTTGTAATATGATTGGGTGCTATTCTTAATATAATAAGCGATTTAGATAAATTTGATCAAAAAGTCATCTTGATAATTTTAATCAGGTATTACGTATATATTACTTTAATAGATTGCTAAATACGTTTAATAATCAAAAATAATCTTAAGAAAACTTAATTTGATTGATTTTGCGATATACTTTACAAAAATTCAATTGAACATATTTTTGTATTGTCAAATTTGTTCACATTTGGGTTTTATGTCATTTAGAACATAAAAGTGATAATTTATAATAACCCCTACTGTCTAGGATTGATTTAAAACCATCCAGATTGTTTTGACATTGTAAACTAAACATAGTCTTAAACTAATGCAATGACTCTGCAAAATATAACTCTTTCGATAGAAATGATATCACTTTATGCTATACCATACTTTTAACAAAAGGACATCCGTTGAACTTTTATCTTACTCAACTATAATAAATAGACTTTCATGGGTTAGATGGAAAAAGTTCAGAAAAAAATGTAGAGTATAGAAATCATTATACACGTGTAGGTAAAGCTTAGATGTTTTATATGTCGCATCAATATTAATTATTTTGGTATTGTACATGTTTAATTTCTAAATATTGTGCAGTAGAATAACATAATTATGTACCAGATGCGTTATTTAAAATACTAGTTGTTAAGTAGTTTTTAGCTTCAGGATTAAAAACTTAATTTTTTTAAATTTTAATTATTATTTTTTTTTTGTTGTTAAAGAAAAATATTATTTTATTTAGTTATTGTTGCCAAAGGTAAAAACCTTCTGTCTAAACTCCTTGTTTGGGCTCAGCACTCATACACTTAAACAATTCTTTAAAGTTATCTTTAAATGCAATGTAAATTATAGACATTAATTAATTTTTATTTGACAATATTATATTATCAATTAAATGAAATCAAATACAAAATTCTTGTACATTATAAACTATGATAATAAAAGTTTATATAGTCTATAAAGAATATTCTTCTATATAGTGTACTAAACAAATTATGTATATATATATATATTGATTAGATGAGGTACTAGTAAAGGTAATAGGTAAAAATACTTATCATATCGAAATGAGATAGCTTACCGACTTATGAGAGTGTAATTGCTTTCGCACGGAACGCATCATATTTTTTTTGTAGGCACAGTTAAAAAGAGTTATGGCCTGGAAATTGTAGGGAATATTGTCTCCTTACCAAAACATGTATATCGATTTTTTGATTTTTTAAAAGGAAGAAAGGAACACATATTATATGTTTAGTTTAAATTGTAATAGCTTTTTTTAATATCGCAATTTAATTACAACATAATATATAAACTGTGTAACTTTCTTAAAAATCTTTTTATTATAAAAAATTTTTTTACTATGATGAGTATGCTATACATGTATACATATTAATACAATAAAATAGGGTGATAAGAATCAGACGTTAATCAAGAATTTTTTTTCTTGAATAATTTACTATTTTTGTTAGCCTGGTAGGAATTATATTTTGGATATTTTTGAAAAACTTTAAAACTAGCTACAGATAATAGTATAATGGTAAATTGTTAACTATTCAATGTGATAACTAAAATAATACAATTGTCAATAATGTCTTTTAACATAAACTTTTATACTGGTCTACAATAATTTGAAAACAATTCTGGTCTATCAAAAAACAAAATATACTTCTCCTTAAAAGTTTTCTATAATTTTAGGATACTGATCTTAAATGTTTTTATTTTATTTTTTTGAGGAATTGAAGACACATTATATTTTTATTGTTGATATCAAATAAAATAATGGACATAAAGAAAATTATTATTTTTTAATATTGTTTTAGAAAGCTCAGTCAATGATGCTATAGTTTTGAGGGTTAAAGAAGTTCAAGAAGTCTTGTTCAAGCAAGGAAGTTTAAATATTTCAAATAGCAATATTAAGGTCTTAGAAGATTTATTTTTAAAAATTATTTCTCTTAAATTTTTCATAATATTCTAGTTTTTGTTATAAAATATAATTAAATTGTTACTTAAATGATAATTTTTTATAATAGTATTTTATCTAAAAGAATTTTTTAAACATTTGTTATATACTAATTTTAGTACTTAGTATTATTTTTTAAAAATATTTCGAGGGGTAATATCTCTATTATGTCAATTTGTGTTGAAAATTATGTATAACATTGTGTAAATCTTTTTAGTGGTTCATCATTAATAGGTAGGACAATTATTTTATATAATATACGAAGACTTTAATATGAGTATTCTTGAATTCGTACTTTAGTAATATAATGCGGTGGTTACATAAATAAGTTACAATACAGTATTATAACTATTAAAAATTAAGTTAACATTTAAAACCTAAAAATGGAATAATAATAAAGGTACAAATTGTGAGAAACCCATTAGAGTTGTATTTAACTTAAATGATGTACTTAGAAAATAATCAAAGATGAACCTCCTGAAAAAATTGCAATTTGATCTACGCTCGTACACCTTTATCTAAAATTCATGATGAAAAAAGTACATTTTATAATACAGTAATATATATTTATATATACATCAATTTCAAAGTAAAATTCTTGAAAAAGAATACTTATAATCATGTTCATTGTAGTTTGTTATTTTTCTCATTAACACAAATATAAATATATGCCCTTAGTGTTAAATTAATAAATACTTAATGTTTAAAGAAACTTTTGACTAATTAATGTAAACAATTATTGTGAATTTGAAATAGATTAAAAATTAAGTGTAATAAAAAAAAATTAATCTAAATTAAGGTCTGTGTTCTCCTTTGGTTCTAAAAATAAAATTTAGGAAAGTATCAAAAATAAATTTTCTAACCTTTTTTTTGGGGGGGAATATATAATTATACATTGAACACAAGCGAATAATTATTTATTCATAATATTTTCTATGAATTAATTTTTAAATAAGTGTGAAAGAAAGAAACTTTTAGGTCTCACTCGGCGTTTAAAATTTTATAGTTTTTAAATTATATGTTATTATCTAAATTTAGACATTTTAATGAGCAGGTTAAATAGTTTTTCATTGATTTAGTCCATTACCATTAAATCGCAAAATGAACACACGTATAGATAACCTTTCTCTTGATTTTTCAACATTATTAATTATTTATGTTCCCAAACTTTGTCCAAAATGCCTTTATTTTAATGTAATTACATGCGTGTTTTCTCTAACACTGACAATTCTTTTCTCGTGATAGCTAAATAAATCGTACGGAGGAGCTCATTCGTTACAAATGATGTGTAGCTAAAAAAGAATAAATTAAAGTTTGCTTATCTTTTGGGTACTATATGACCTGATTTTTATTTTATGGTTTTATTTTTTATTCGTAGTACGTTCACATTATATACAAATAAACGTTCGGTAAATTATGTTGCTTATCTTCTGTAGCGTTTGGGAAAAGACCTTTCTCAACATTGTTTCTCTTTTATACTACACGCCAATGGTTTTGTAATATAGCCATTGCTAAAGGTTGGCCAGTATAGTAATGATTTTCGACCCTTTCTGGCCATTCGAGATTAATATTTGGTTATTTTTATCAGCGACAATGAAGAAAATATCTTATTTTGGCATACGTATGGTTCTTTTTTATCGCTGCTTAGGGAAAGGTTGTAAAAAGATGCCATAATATAAAATATCGTAATTAATGTAATTAAATAAAAATAGAAATCTATTTTCGATTATATTAGTGAATATGAAATTTAAAATAAATAAATAATAATTTTGAAACATTTTTGCTATTTTCATGCGATTCAAAACATGCTAATGAAAAATTCATAAAACACCAGTCGTGTTACAAAACTACAATTGTGTAGACTATAATAGAAGAACATCTGCATCAGTTAAATTGGGCACAATAATACAATAGCTGAAGATAACAATGAAGTATTTCACTGGAGCGGAACCTTAGATTCTATGCAAGTCTATCGAGTCAGTTAGGATTTATTGGAGCATTAATTTCTTTGTCATAATCACCTCATTTAGCTTTTCACTTGCTTGATTAAAAAGTGACAGATATTTTGTATTTTTTTCTCATTAAGAAAGATGATAAACCATATTCGATCAGAAAAAATATTACTTCATAGGTATTATTTATATAAATTATAGTTCTATCTATATAATGAAAATTAGAGTCCAGAGGAATACGTCTCTTGATGTTTGTCATAATATTTTTTATAAATCGCATTTTTTAAAGGGGTTGTCGCAAAAAGAAAATATCTCCATATATAGGAGATATTTTAGGAATCTATCCTAGGAAAATTATTAAAAAAGTTTTTTATTTCCATACGTTATAAAGAACGGTTTCAAGCTCCAAGTATTATTACTCATATTATAAAATACGTTTTTGCAAGCAGATTATGTTGCTAAATAAGTCATGAATTTTTACATACTGATATTATATTAATTTGAATTAAATAATTTTTTTATAAGCTGACAAAATTTTTTAAGGATTAAAAAGTATAATTTTTTTTAAAAAATTTACTTATTTTATTTTTTGTTTAATTAAAATTAACTTCAAAATTATTGCTATTTTACTGGAAAAACTCATTAATAGTCTAAAGTTACATTTTATCCTAAAATTACTCCTAAAAATGTAATCACCCTTTGATGCGAATTCGTGATGTAAATGATATTTTATTGATATATGTAGTTTAGTGGAACACCAGTTAATGTTTTTAATGTTAACATTCAACATTGAAACTTGAACCTTAGCACTTCTATATTCTTGTAAGGTAAATCAATTTATTTAAACTGGAATGTTCGATGAAGAATCTAGATTATGTAGCAGTTCACTACGTGTATTTCTTGATATTATCGCAAATAGAATGCACTTTAAATAACACATAAAATGTTTTGAAATAAAAAGTAAAAAAAAGTAAACCTAACCCGTCGAGGTAACACAAGCTAAAGTAAAAAATGTATATACTTAAAAATTTTTATGTATGTTGTAGAGATGGCATTACTTATAATTGTTACAATAATGAGTGAAGTCTAAAAGTTTCTCTTGATTTCTAATGAATCCATATGCAATAGTCTCTTGTTCATAATTCATAGATGCTTCCTTTTTACTCTTTAATGTGTGTATGTATATTAAATAATGTATACTATTGATCATTACTTTTAGAGTAAGCTTGTAGGGTCATTAATATTTGATTTTTATACATCTATTGCACGAATATTATAAATATTTGCTATAATAGAATGAGGTATTATTAAATCAATTTGATTAATTACTCAAATAACAGTTTTTGTTGGATTTTGATGATAAAATATTTTTATTAAATCAATACACTAATAAGTTATGTTGCTAATAAGATCGAAATATTAAAAAAAAATATTTTGATAATTTAACAATCAAGTAGGAATATCTATTTTAAATTTTTTAATGCAGTTTATTGAAGTGTTGTAAAAATACTCATGGATATAACAAGTTAGTATATAATATGTATTTTACAAAAGTGATATTTTAGATCTAACGATCTATCATTAGAATAACATAATTTTTTTATAATTTATCAAACAATGTATTTAAATTAAGAAATTATCAATATCTATCAAATGTGACATACCTAGTGATTTTTTTCTTTTTACTATTTTTCAATACTTTTACCTGATTTTATGTGCTAATTTATAATATAAATTATATTACAGCCCTATATCATAGGGTGTTTTATCGTATGAATAATGTTTTGTAATTGAGTAATTTATAATGTGTTGTGTGTTAAACTGTATCATATTTAATTTTAAAAAATATTTGTTTATGAATATAAATTAATTTTTAAGATTAACTATCATTAGACAACATTTATATATTCAATATATAATTTCAGATAATCGAACGTAAAAATCATTGAAAATACACACCTGTGAAAAAAATACAATCGGCATATCAAACATAAGTAAAAGAAAAAATTTAATTTTTGTATATCGTAATTAAAAAAAAAAAGCTATACAATTGTTTCAATATACTCAACGCCATTAATGTATTAGCGAGAAATCTCTTAAATTCATAATTAATGCATTTTATGAAATCTTCTATAATTACTATAAAATAAAAAAAAAGGGTATGTTATTAATGTAGTATATATTTTCAAGTGGAGGTAATATTTCTATTAACCAACCCTCAAACAAACGATTAAAACGACCACGTGCGCGCACAGGAATTAAAGAATCGTATTAACGTAACCGCGCGAATAGTAACATGGATTCTAAGTGTTGTGTAATTTTTTTTTTTTTGAGATTATCACATTTCTATTTGAAATGTGTATGCGTGCATTTCCCTTCCGAACAGACTTATATGACCGTTGTCCACTGATAAAATAAATAAAAAGCAGTAGATTTTGTGTGGACAAACTGATTTGAATTCAATTGCGTTTAGTTATCCGTCAAGTTCACTTATTATGGAAACAAAAAATAAAAGAAATCATTCTGCAGCCAATGTGTACTTTTTTGTAATGTGTTTCGCAATTATTATTCAATGTTCTACAGCATTCAATAAAGGTAATCTTTACTGTTCATATATATTTAAAAAATAACCATGGAATTTTTAATTTTATTTATAATGTTGATAATTTCTTTCATAATATAATAGTTTTAATTTCGAGAAAATGTATTTGAGGTCCTTAAATTATAAAGCTCACATTAAAATAATAATATATTTTTAACTGCTTTGAAGTAATAAATATTTTTAACTTTGAACTTGATATTGCATTTTAAGTATATGAAGTGTAAATTAAAAGAGGAAGGGAAACTGTCTAATAACTGTAGAAAACTAATTTACAAGCGAATTAAATATATAGAACAAAAGCGTAATAAAATTAATTTTTTTTATGTTATAATAAACAATTTGAACAGTAAAAATAATTGTTATGTAGTTTCATGTTCTAGTTTAATAATAATTAATTGAACTTTATAATGTTGATAATTGTATTTATAGATATTCTTAAATTATATCCTTAATAGTGCTAGGTAATATTAATTTAAAATCATTGTGTTTACTAATCGATTAGATTTTTTATTAAATGTATAACTTGTAAAATATTTTAAGACATTTAATATGTTTAAATAATTAAAATATACCATATAATTGATAAAAGTTGTATAGTATAAGAATTATAAATTTAAATTTAAAATAATTAATTAGTATTGATTTATTATAGAATTGACCAATGATCCCTATAAATTCTTTCATGCATATTTGTAAATATAAAATAATTAATTTCTGGTCTAGAACTACATTAATCTATTTCGTACCTATTGTTTTTTAATTGTTTAGAATATTACTGGTTTAATATGAAATGTATAAATAAATATTTATAACGATTAATGATATAAACATATTTAATAGAAAATAAAATTAAGAAAATTGTTAGTTTAGTAAATACATTTGATTATTCTATTTTAATTAACAAAAATTTAATGATGTGATTGAATATAGCTACAGCCATTAAATATTATAGTTCAAGTACATAAAGGTCATTGCTAAATAGATTTTTTATAGCATCATTTGTGGTGTATTGTATGTCCAGAAGTTGTAATCAATTTCTAGTAACAAATTAATTACAGTCAAAATAAAGTACAATATTTCGATTGTCACATACATATTAAATAACAAATTTCTATTATGTTTTAAATTCAAAATTGACTTTTTAAATTAAGCGTGTATAAAATAAATTACAATCAGCTGAAAAAATCTGTATACGGTGTGTTCATATTTTGAATTTTTTACATTTTAATTTATACAAAAGTAAAAATTCCCATAATATTTTTTATTTTTGCGTTGGTAAACTATTTATGTAAGTTAAACATAAATAATCTAGCACAATAGAGACGTGGTATAGTTGAGATAAGTATAGATGATATCTGACAGTGATTAAAATTATTATTATAAAAAACGCATTGAATCTGTATTGTTTAATTTTTAGAAGAAATTACTGAAATTATTCGAATTATTGAATCTAAAACAAGGACTCCAATTTAAATTCTGATCACAAGTTTTATGATTTATATGTATAATACACGAAAAAGTACTTATTATAGTAACTAATTTTTGAGAGTAATGTTTTCAACTAGATACTATTTGTGATCTTTTGACGTATCGTTGGAGAAATCGGTTCAGTGAGAGCTGAGAAAAAGTAAAACAGAAAAAAACACATCGTGGTAAAATTAATATCTTTTCATTTTCGTATCGAAGCTAAAATTTTTTCTCACGTTGGTAATTTTGATTTATATGATATTCTTAATTTTAATTTTAAGATTATCATCATAAGTTCGATGAAAGCTTAGAATAAAAAATTGACCTACGATGGGAAAAATAAAGTAGACCTCCTTTTGCTCATCAATATTGTTTAAAGAGTGATCCTGAAAACAATTATGTAGCCATCGAATGTGAAAATCGTAAATACGGCCCTGATTATACATAAATATACAAATTATAATAATAAATGTTAAGCTATATTTTAAAAATCGATCCTGGGAAAAATAAGCATTCATTTTAAAAAATAAATATCATTAAGTTCTAATATTGTGATAATTTTAACGAAGTGTAGCTGATTTTCGAAACAAAATAAGTTAGTTTATAGAAAACAAAATGTAATATAAGCTTTTCCTCATGTAATAAAAGTTAATTTTGTCTTGTTTTTTATTATAGGTGTACAGTTCTTAATATCCAATTTAATGACATACTATTTTTATAGGGTATATATAAACGAATATAGAAATTGCAAATACATTATCCGTCTTAGGATATTCAGTATGTATTACTTTAGATTGAACAATTCTGTTCTTTAAATATGTATTTACCTTAGTATAATTATCAAATAAATACAGGCGTTAAACAATGTATTATAATGACTATCCCATTAATTCACATGAATAATGACACATTTTGTTTTGTTCATTATGGATTTTATAGAAAGAGATTCATTATGTATCAATCAGTACATTTGTTTAATGTGTATCGACTGTAATATGTTGTACTACAAAAAAAAAGAAAATCTATTAAAACATTTTCACTGCAGAAAGTTAATTAAAATTTGTGAACAAAATAAAGTACAAACCTGTGCACTAAAGACTAAGCACTATGGACTTAACGTTTATAGTCATAGACGTTTAATATTATTACCCAGTCATTACGTGCTTGGTGTATATGGCAGTGGATACTTTTGGATAATTAGCATTGAACGTGGCAATTGAACATTGTCACGGTACGCGCATAAAGTATGCTACGGACACAGTAATTCGGCATTGGGGTGGGGACCGATTGGCTACGAAATTCTACAATAAAGAAGCTATAACCAACAGTTTTCCATTGAGACTTTAGTGCACCTCTACAGCTACACAAATGTCGTTACACATTTTTATTATCGCGCTCGTTGACACATTTCGTTCGTTTCCACCGAGTCTTCATTTTATGTACTTTTACGCATTAATGGAAATTCGCCAGCCCATTGTCGTTCACCAACTTCAGCAGTTGAGTGGATGTGCGACGATCGAGATAAATCTCTTGACTACGGCCGTGGAATACGGAAACAAATCGTTGTCACTTTTAACGTCTTAAGAACGACAACGAGGACGGATTTATTCAAAGAAAATCGAATAGTTGTAATAAAAAGAACTAAAACAACAAATACGTTTTGTTCTGCGTCGTTTACTGTGCAACCATTGATTACAGAATAACAAACGATGGTATAGAGATTATAAATGAAAATATAATTTTTCCGTTTATCCTGGCCGTTAACTGAGATCTCATTAATTCTTTAGTAAATCGTTTCTGTCTACATCTTGATCCACTAATAATAATGACGATGATGGGAAGATAACTTTATTTTTAGAGCATAACGCTAAGTAAACTTCGTGACTATTTTAATTGAATTACGATAAATTTAGTTAAAATATAAAATTTATGAAGTTTATGTGTATTGTTCAGTGCGTGTATGTATAAGTTTGCGAGAATATAAATAATTCAAATTTGTGTCTACAAAACATAGAATTGCTACTAATTATTTGTTGACATACTCGTGCTTAATTACTAAATATATTTTGTGTGCTTAATAAATTTTTGTTGATAGGATATATTTGATTTTGGGAAAAATAATTTTCGATAAATAATTGAAATTCAAAAATAATCTAATATAATTCACAAATTTTACTTATGAGAAATAAACATTATGAATTATAATCCGGTAGTCATTTTTGAGTCTAATCATTGACTAATGTATTAATACACTAAAACATTAGATTATGATTTTAGAACACCAACTCAAAAAACGTATTTTTAATTTTATTTTACGGTGTAAAATATTTGCACTAATCTCATCATCGTCTAATTTAATGTCATTTTTAACCAATAATTATTAGGGCGATGTGTTAAATTATATCGGCAGTTCTGTATTTTATATTAATTTTATCATTGATACTTGAGAAAATTAATAACAAAAAAAAATTACCCATAAAAATTTGTTGCTGTTCATTTATCAGTATTAATAATTTTATTTTTTGTGTTATTTTTTACAATGGAAGAGGGGAAAAAAAGTTTAAAAATGAAACTTACGAACAAATAAAATTGTTAATTGATTTGTTTATAAGCTCCAAAAATTAATTCCAAAAAATTTGTACCATCTTTTAGAATGAATAACCGAAAAAGACATGGGTGGAATAGAAAAAGCCAATTACATAATTAATAGTTTTATTAAAAGAACCAAATATTAAAAAAAAAAAATGTGATGTTATTTTATGTTTAGTGATTATTATGTTTGTTATTTGAAGTCAGCTGTTAAATCTTTCTAAATCAAATTAAAAAAAAAAAAATTTAAGAGATAGAAAAAGAAGTTGAGGAATATATTGAAAGTTTTAGTTGCATTAAATTTATAATTAATTTTCTAGATTAATACATATTATGTATTACGAATTTTATGCTCAGGTAAAAAAATAACGCACAAATAATAATTGAATTTTAAGCATGAAAAGTTTCATAAATTAAATTATAATGGTATCCGCAAAAAATCCTTATGAAAAGTTAATTAGTAATTTCACATTATTAAAATTGTCTAGTAGATGAGTTATAAAATCGTATTTGCCGTATCTGTTAAAATAGTATTCATATTAAATGCATTATACATTTCAGTTATGCATCTATTAACTGAAGGCTGGACAAGTTAATAATTTTTCCAAAATCGTTAAAATTAAGTTCATTTAACAAAGATAACGAGTTATATAGTAATTCAAAATGATATATAAAATTAGTTATTGATTGGTGATCATGTGTGATCATGAGAATGATTGAGTTACTATGTATTAATTGAATAAAATGATATATTATAATTTTCTCTTGGGGTAGGAGTATGAATGTTTTATGAAAATATGTAAATTATAAAGAAAAACAAAGTGATGTTTGAAAATGTATTAATATTATAATAAATTGAAATAGAAATTATTGCGATTAATTATCACGCTTTAAGTATTAATAATACCACTCATACTAATAGTTATCTAAGTTTGTGCTGACTGTGAGTCATGTCAATAAATATCTCGAGTAGTATAGGAAACATAAGTGTGTTCTCTGTCTTCGAGAGTCTTCATTTGTATTGACCATACAGATAATCCACTCAAAGATTGGACTAGGTTGGTTAACTTTATAGAAACGTTATCGATATTATTTATTTAAATAATATTTTATTTTAGTAATCACTTAATTTTTCTGATTCCCTACTTAATTTATGTACTTAATACACTTAACTTAGTATCTTATAAATTTTCTGTGAAATGTAAGTTTACCATAGTGGTGTTGGAAGCAAGATTGAAAATAAATATACTTAGTAGTGAGTCAAAGTGACAATTTTTATGCCCTTTTATATTAAATTTAACCCATCTATATGTGCAAGTAGTGTCACGACCTTTTACTATTATCTGTTTATTATTTGTTAGTTATTACATATTATTTTACTTAAAATAGACGATTTAAAAAAAATAAGAGTAGGACTAGTACTTTAAAATAATAGATGTTTGCTACAGAAAGGTCTTAAAATTTATTTTAGCTGGCTGTTTTTAACATTAGCATATAATTTAATAATATAAATGTTATAAAATAAAAATAAGTAATTGAAAATGTAGATTATTCGTACATTGTTTATTATTTGATAAATTAGTTTGTTATAATTTATGATAATTTGTGATTTTTGTGTTTTATAACTATAGAAGACTGCAAGTTACCAAGTGACGGAGGACTTTGTCCAAATCGACTAACATTAAGAGTAAAGTATTATTTTGATTCATATAACGATGACTGTTCAGAATTTATTTATTTTGGATGTGGTGGTAACAACAATCGATTTGATACATTTGATGAGTGCGAAAGGAAATGTTTGTTTAACGCTGACAATTGAAGAATATTGATCATTATCATGAAAATTGGAAGCAATAATGATATAAAATATTCTAATTAATGTTTAGTAAGTAATATTTCACATTTTTATTATTTTCATTTTTATCTATTATTAATTCAACAGGTTCAACGGATCTCTTTAAAAAATTAATGAGCTACCTGATCTTCATTGAAAATGTTGTATTTTAATTTATTTAATGCATTAATTTTTATATATTATAATTATTTAGGGACTAATTATTTATTAGTATATTAATGTGTATCAAAGTTCAAAAAAAAAAAAAAATAATAATAATAATTATAAATATAAGTAATTTTAATCAAACAAAATCAATACTAAAGTGTATCAATGTGATTGTACAGAAATATGACCTGAAATCTTAGCTTATAAGCTGTAATAAAATTAAATGTTTTTAAATGGTTACAAAAAGTATTTTACTCGTTTGTGAAATGACAAGAAATATTTTCATTTAGCTATCTTGAATAAAACGACATTTGCAACATTGGACAGTTATTAAATGACATAAGTAGAGTCCCAACTATTCTAAACTTCCACTAAAGGAAGGTTCGTATTATTCTAGCACTACGTATATTCAATGACTTTCTCTAGGAGAGATTAAACTGATGTTAAGAGTTTTCATTATTATTCAAGTTAATGCCATTCTTTGTAGTTTCCAGACAAACTTCCAGAGTCGATTATTTCTAAAGACCTTACAGAAGAAAGAGTTGCGCTGTACAATATTCCACCCCTGTTTGGTATAAGAGTTAGGATAATGTTTATAAATCTTTTGTTTTCAATGGTGCTAAAACTGAAGTCTAAAGTTAATGTGACGACGACTAGTTGGTAGTTTGCATTCTACAAAAGCATCTATGTCATGTGTTTAAGAAAATATACATATATTTCTTCAAGAGTAACGATACGGTTACTCTATAATGTTGGCTGACTGAAATAATTGCGATTTACATAAGTCATGAGTGACAAATTAGATTAGTAATATTGGAAAGTGATAACTGATGACAGTAAGGTTGGATGGGTTGTAAGTCTTTAGGCATAAAAAAGCACTAACCATGACAAATGAATAACACAAATGTGTTAGTTATAATTCTTTGTACACAACTTAAATATATTTGTGCGTGAAAATAGTAGTTTTTGGGTACGATAATTTAATTTATAGGGTGTTTCATGATATTTTATCAATTTTCCATATAAAAAATATATATTTGTTAAAACCCTGTATAGTTCTTAACTTTGCTGTAAGAAATGATATAAAAATTCCCATATGTCAGTATAATATTTTTAATATCCACGTTAATTTTACACACAAGTAGTGTAATTTTGACACGAAGAATCGAAAATTCGTACAAAAATGTTATATTTTTGTCATTATTTATCAATATTTTTCCTTTTTTATAACAAGTACAAAGGAGTTAAATCTTTTTGACCAAATGAATTTTATGCCTTTTTCATAGCGTCTCCTTCGTCCTAATAGTGTTATGAACACGAAAATATTATCTTAAAATTATTAAATAAAAATAACAATAAGTACAGTAAAAATAAACGCAATTGGATGTCGCGCAACAATAGTGACAGCGCCTGTCACCCAACGTACCTATAAAACAATACATAAAATATTGAAGCTACAAAGAACATAGCTTTTCTAGTTTACCGCTGAGGGTCTCTCCCGACAATTGAATCTACTCGGATTTACTGACTACTACTTATTAATTAGAAAACAAATTAAAATTTAAAGACAATATTGAAAAATGTTTATTAAACCAGAATCCTCATTATTATTTATTATAATTATTTAAAATCAATATTTCGTTTTTTCTGAAAGATCTGGTACTACACTATTTTGTACATAATCATATCAAGAGTATGTTAATATTGCTTAAAATGTTTACGGATGTATTCACGTTTTCAGTTTTAAGTTGACGTTTCGGACTCGTTTCACAGTCAATTTCAATGCGATAGTTACAGGCTCGCGGTTGTAACTATATTGTCGGGTTAGCTTGCTTACGGTATGTTTTTATATCAGTTGATAAATGATAACGTCAACGTTGTTATCAAGACATTTTGATATGTTAACATATCAAGACACCATCTATGAAAAAACTGATGGAATGGCAAGGGGATGAAGACTAGCAATAGTTTTTGCTAGCATATTCATGGATGGTTTGAACAAGAAGCAATGAGCACATATATACAAAAACACAAAATGTGTTTTACAAGTTAACATTTTTAAATGTTGATACATTTATTTTGCGCTAACACGGCGTTGGTCATGTAAAATATTTTTTGCAACATTTAAACAATATACACGCCAACATAAAGTTCACAATGAAAACCAAGATAGACGAACAATTGTCGTTCATGGAGGTACGGATCAAAAACAGCCCAATTGAAAATTAGGCATGGGAGTGTACAGAAAAAGTACACACACACTGATAAATATTTACATGCAGATTCACACCACTGCCCCTCACAAAATATGGGGTTAAAACATACAATGGCAATAAAAGATATTAGAATAGCTGATGAAGAATATGTGAAAGATGAAATATTTACGGCAATCACAACAAAATATTGGATATACAATCAAAAACATAAACAAGGAACTTAGAAAAGTGGAAAAAAGAAAATAGTACAACGAGCTACAATGATGATGAAAATAAAGAAGATGACAAGAAAGTAACACTAATACTGCCGTACATATAAAAAAATTACCGACCGTTTTTTAAGAACCGCAACGCAAATATATTCAAAATAAGAATCATCTTCAAATTCAATTTGGCAAAGTTAAAATATTGAATAAAGAAACTCATTTTGGCAAACGGAAGTACAAAGAAGCAATAGAAATTGGAAAATGTTCAGAAAATTACAACAGAGTATATGGATGGACTATTAGAAAGATTTAATTACTTATAATACACCAGGTAAAAAGAAAATCAACAAATAAAATAACTTAATAAGTGAAAAAACTACAATTTACATAACCGAACATTGCCGGTATAGAAAAGAAAGAGCTAAATACAAAAAATGCCGTAAACAACAACAACAAAAACAAAAACCGAATGTAAACAACAAACTGACAGTTGTCAACAACAATACGACAAAAACAACATCGATGTTATCAGTTATCAACTGATATAAAAACATACTGTAAACAAACTCAGCCGTCAGTATAGTTAAAACCACGAGCCTGTAACTAACGCTCTGAAGATGTACTCGGCAACTAGTCCGAAACATCAGCTCATAATTAAAAACGTGGAGACATCCGTAAACATTTCAAGCAATACGACAATCACAAAAGCTTTAAAACATTCATAGTATGTTAGTACAAAATTTTACAAAAAAAATTAAACTTTAATGTATTAAAAACATCTCCTGTTTTATTACCTCTAAAAACATGCATCATATTTTATAACTCAAGTTTAATAAGTTGAAACATTTATAAAAATATTTTCAATCATTTATTTGTGTCACTAATAATTTATTTACACTGAACAGCTCGTATATTTTAGAGTTTTTTGATAAATATATAATTAAAAACAAAACTTTTCAATAATTTAAAAAATATATTAATTGGTAGAATATTTATTGTAAAAAGGTAGTACAGAAATGGGTTGTAATTATGAAAACTGATTAAATTTTTAAAATATCCATTTTTATCTTGATTGTACAAATATTACGGAACTACTGAAAAGTAATTTTTACACAAGTGTGAAATGTTTATATAAAGTGTTCAGTAAGTAAGGAAACAGGTTTCTATTGTTCTTATTGTTTGTAACAATTGTCCTGTTTCCTTACTTACAGAACACTCTGTATAATAATTAAGAAGAACAAAACAAAATAAATAGTATATTGTTTTTTGAGCGCTTGTTTAACGAATTATGGTATCAAAATTTAATTCTTACGAACAGGACTATATCTTAAAAAAATTTTTCCTAGTGATTTTTCTTCTATATCTAAACAGCCCCTGAAATTAAACAAAAATAATATCATTGTTTTTTGTTGTTTTCTATATTCATTTTTGTCGTTTATTATTTATTTATGCCTTTAGTAGAGGTAAGCTCAATTGACCCCCTTTTTTACAAATATATATATATATATATAATTATATATAACAATGAAATAAATACAAGTGTGAGCTATAAATATTTTTAGGGAGAATTTTTTCTGTTTTTAATGTCAATGGACTAAATATATTAAAAAGAATGAACTGCCCTTTCTAAGAAAAACGGCCTATACAATTTCAATTTCTTAACTGAAATAATAATTAACTCACAAGGGTCAAAGTAATTGAATTATGAAAGTTAACTTTTTTTTGGTAAATCCACACTTAAAATTTGCTGTTGAGTTAACAAAATATGTATTTACATTATAATTGTTTATAATTTCTCCGCAGAAATAACAATACTAAATTATTAATATGTAAATATTTAATCATAAAATTTGTAATCAAGATATAATTAAGGAAATAAGAGTTGATGTTGCTTTTGGAATAATTATACAATTTTTATTAAAAATTAAACACTATCCACGGTTTTGCATCGAAGCGGTTTTTATCATTTTGAATTTAATTACTAACATATCTGTTAATTGTTAATAGTTATAATTTACTAATGAGTTTATTACTAACTAAGTATTTTAGTGAAAATAACCTCTATTATTATTATAATGACATTATTTAAGAAGAACCTTTTTGAATTAATAGAAAGTAATGGGTTTTGTATAGCCTTTTTGAGTCTCAGTATAAAAATAAATTACAGTTGAACCACACTTTATGAAATGATTAAAACGTTGGCAATGAGGATCAATCATGTCAGTTTTAAAAGTGATAAAATTGTTTATTAGTTTCTTTAAGAGCGTACAAATAAATAAAATAATAGCAATAATTTTGACGGCCGTAGATTTATGAGGAAGCCTATTATATTCCGTGTGGAGTGATAAAATTGTTTGACTGGAATGATGGCACTATCAGAGTGATGGTAAGATCGTTTCATAAATGTATACTCGTATAATAATGTATATAGGTAGTGTTTTCCAACATTATACTTTCATCGTTTTACTCGAGCAAGCACTACATCTTAACTCACTATAAGTTTACTCACTTATGATTGATGACTACGGCGCTCTACAAAATATTCGTTTTTGAAAATAATAGATAGTTTTCATTTTTACTCTAACGCTATTATTACTGACAGTTTTTTTAATAAATATTTTCGCCCAGACCCAAGCTCATTTTGAATCTAGATATACTATATTTATATGTTTTACTACTAATTAAACACAATTTTTTTATTATTCATAAATTAATTTGCTCGTCTAAAATGTAAAGTTTGGCTCAGATTCGGTACCTTGAGATGAACTCTTTATAGAAAATATCGCTACAATAAAAAAAGTGATAAACAAAAAAAAAAAAAATACAGAAAATTACTTTCACTTATCTAATCAAATTCGAGATGGGCAGCAGGACGTTCGCCCTCCACTCTTTAATCGGGCCTGTACGTTACTATAAAAAATTATCCAAAAATTCCCACAGATCAGTATAATATTTTTAATATACACGTTAATTTTACACACAAGTAGTGAAGATGTAACGTAAAGTATCAAAAATTCGTACAAAAATATAATATTTTTATCACTATTTATCAAAATTTTCCTTAACATTGTACGTGCTAAAAATTTCTAGCATAAGCATCTGAAAATTCGGAAATTTTTTTTAAGTGATATTACATTCAATAAAGTGTTATATATTCAATTGATCTTCACACTAAGATTGGCGAATAAAGACAAATTGTAAGGGCGTCTAAGATTAAAATATTTCTATCAGAATAAATTACATATGTCTATACATATATAGAGTGTAATTTATAAGCTTATCTTACGGCGATTAGTCTAAAACTATTGGACGTTCTATATGTGTAATATACCAAAATAGTATGGCGTGATGTATTATATGGTTAACATCAATAATAAACGTTGTAGGTTCCAAAAAACTAGGAAAGATAGCGGGGAGTAGGCACTGTTGCGTAGATAAAAATCGTCAAATCATTGGATTGAGATTAACAAAACAGATGCTACGTTAACAGTGAGTATAAGGAAAATTAAGAGTCCTTATAAATGTATGTGTAGTAGATAATATAATGTATTGTACTAGATTAATTAAGAAATAATTACTAGATACTTTAGAATCCTGTTAAGACGAGGACAATGCGACTTGTCATTTTGCCTAATAGTCAAACAATAATAGCATCTGACAAATATATATTTTTTAATTTATCTCTTCTACTTTTTGCACTCATGTGCCTAGCTCTGCTATACATGACCAGAACTAATTGTTTAGCATGTCCAAACTAGGGAGCTCTACAGCAGTCGTTAGTGGTGTTATGTGGCCGTCTGTACATCTACGTACTGTTCGTTTTGCACGTTTGTGTGAAATTCGATTGTTTTGAAAGTTTTTACTTTAAATAATTTATTACACATTGTTTACAAATGTTATGCTGACCATTCGAGAGAAAACTTAAGGAATAAGTTTTAAAACAACAAGGCAAGTGTTTTCAGAGTAAGTACTTAAAAAATAAACGTTATTTTCTAAAAAAAAAAACTAAAATACTTTAACATAACATTTTTTGTCAAAAGTTTATTCTTTTAAATAATTACTGTAAGTGAATAATGCAATAAATCTTATAAAAAACCATCATGAGGTTTAAGTCATTTGAATTCTATTTAAAATGCTTATTGTTTAATTTTAAAAAATACTGACGTTAAATACTTGGATAAACGTTTTATGATTAAACAATTTTGCTATTTTTAAACATTATTTCATAAATATTATTGTTAGTACAATTATAATAGTAATAGTAAATAAGTTTGTATTTTTTTTTAAATATTTTTAATAAATTTCATTAGTAAATTGATGAATATCATTAATATATATAATTAAATAACTTATACTTAAAATTATTTATTTTCACTATATAGACATGTAATGCAATATATTTAAAAAATTAAAATTATAAAATTTAAGGGGGGTATGAATAAAAAAAAAAGCTTTGCATTGTAGCTAAAAAAAGTTAAATTGATGACTGTTTTTGTTTACTAAAAAGATATCTTAATGAATTTTTAATTTGTCATAATTATTTTAAAGATGTACTAAATAGAATTTAGCGTTTATTATAATTTTTTTTCTTGCTGAATATTGTAGTATACTTTATAAATATAAAAATCCTTAAAAGAGTGTGTTAATAACTCTTTGCACATTTTTCGGTCTGATGAATGTTTAAATAATTATACTGCAGCTATGACTATCAAACATTTTAAATCATTGATATTTCTTACCAGCTGTTGAAAACTGTCTTAGTGTTAAATTATAATTATAAACACTGTTCAACAAATAATAACCATCATAAACTACATAGACATTAAGTTGTTGTGCTTAATTACAAGTTCGACAATAGAAACTTTTATAGTGGGGGGAGGGAATATTTTTTCAATATTTAGTTTTAATGTACGATCAACAGGTCTAGTGTTGCAGGAAAGGGTTGAACGTAATCACAGGAAATGACGATTTTTTTGAAGTCTTGACATAGGTGCAACTAGAGATAGCAAAAAAGAATTAAGCCCCATACATTTTTTAAAAACTTCGTATGTTATCACATAAAGTATATTTTAGAATAGGGAGAAAATACAAATAAATTTTTATTCAAATAAGTGCTTATGGGTCTCGCAGAAAAATAAGTAAAAGATTTTTTGAAATTAATATCATTTAATAACTTATGAGAAATGTTGATTTGGTCATTAACAGCATTACTTTTCTTTGAAAAATTTTTTATAAAATTATCTGCATTTTTTACGGATTGTAAGTGTGTTTTGGATAATTTATGTAAACATGCTTTTTTTATGAAAGTCTTTTTACTTAACAAATGGCTTCTTAATAAACTGAATTTGTTCGAAAAGAATTTCCGTGGCAACTAGTGAATGAAAACAACAAAAACACACTAAATAGGCCTTTCAGTTTTAAATAGCCATGGTAAATGTGGTATAAAGAATTTTAACCATTGGTACCAAAAATAAAGAGTTGCTGATGAATTTGTATCTACTCTTTGGTTTCCAGATATCGGTTCATGTGTGGAAATTATTTAATATATTAATATTTTTCATATTTTATTAAGCAAAAATTATTCTGCAAAATCTTACAATGTACAATGATTTTAAAATTGTCCAATCAAAAAGTTATGGTAGGCATCTGTCCTACTTTGATCCCCCTGAGGACACCGATGTTTCATTATGAATCAAATAAAATGTATTTTCTATTTTAATGGTGCTTTGAACGCAGAAAGGCTTTTTTCATCCAATTAAGCGTGGTTTCTATTATTTCAATGTTCACATACTATATTTTATAAAATATTATTTTTATACAACTATTTTTACCCAACGTTCTTTTAATAACATAATTTTATTAGACATGATAGTATTAAAGTATTTGTTTAAGTAAATAATGTTTTCAAAACTCATTTCAAGGCAAAAATTACTTTAAACTAACGAGTTTTTGACATGAAAATCGGTAATCTATTGCCTACAAAAATAAAAAATATATTTTTAGGAATCTCATTTAGCCTACAAAGTATGCTATATAATAGAGTTTAATAAAAATCGTCATTGTTCTGGTAATATATTATATTAAAGAAAAGTTTGTTCGAAACTGTCCACTTTCCTAAGTTTTTCGTCGAGTATTATGTCAAAGCGGATAACCGTAAAATAAAACATTAAAAGGTAAAATTAAATGGTTTTTGTGCGTTATTGGGTTGAAAATACATTGCATTTTTTTGTTGCCCTAAATAGCTTTTATTAATTTATACGACAAAAAAAAAAAATAACATACAATTATTGTATTGTCCGTAAATTTGCGGATGCCAAAAATACCACTTGAACATTTTTCTTATTTAATTGGGGGGGCCCAACCTTTATTGAAGAATATTTGTTTCGCTTATCAGTGAAATTCTTATCTTATTCTATTTCCTGTTGTATTGGGAATAACTGTACGAGTTAACAATTAACTTGTACATCTTGTATGGATTCTCATCTATTAAGAATTAATAACGTTTTATGTAAATATGGTAAATTAATTTTCTGATCTTACAGAGAAATAAATACGTAAATAATTAAACATTTGCAACATTCGTAAGAGAAATCATGAATGATTTTTTATGATTCTGTTGTTTGGATTTATTGGGATGCTGTTGGTTGCGTTCTGTAAATGACGTTTCGTTGTACGGTCACTGCCAGAAAAGCATCTCCATTGACGAGAATTTCTCGTGACTAGCGAGTAATAATTCCATGCGATCGTATTATATACGGTCGTTAACGGGCAAGAAGTTTACTGTCCGCTGTCATCTATTAAAATTTATTCCACACGGTTGTAAACAGCCATACTATTAGTACTACTACTATTCTGGCAGAGGTAAAACAACTGAACGGCAAAGAATCGAAACGACCATTGTAATGGCTGTTTTTGTACATACACTACACACACGTATGTGTACGTGGTGGGTGTTTGCTTAAATAATGTTCGTACGGTGTTCCCTAATAATGTGAAGATGAATGATTGATACTCAGTGTACCTACGGCGGCTATCGTTGACAACCGTTTTGTACATTGACGAGTTGCTTATTTCAGACACGTCCTCGTTTTTAACGCGTAAAAAATAATTTATCGTTATCACTGTAATCTTTACGCAAAGCGTGTTTATGTTTCGTTTTTTATACAGCCATCACTTTTTCGTCCGCTTCAGTTGGCGCGCTCTCCGATGCTACACTGATAAAATTATTAAAAACACATTAATTCGCATGAATGACGGTGGATTGCCTTTGATTTGAGCAGCGGGTCTGATTTACCCCGCGTCGGGTAGTTTTTTTGTAAAAGCAATAATATAATATTCATAAAAAATGCGTACGAAGGCGGACGAAATCAAAGAACTTCTTGACGAGCCGAGTTTGCACGATACATTAATTATTAGTGGTTAGTGACGTCAGGCCGAACGACTGCTTTAAGTGCTACCCTTCGGTCAAGTAGAGGCACTCGCTATGGTTGATGGGATTGAGACAGGCACGTATTCAGCATGTTTTTCTGAAAGAAACTTTATACGCTTTACCTTTGCTCGTTTGATTTTCAAATTTTATGTAGAAACGTAAAAGATAGTTTTAATATTAGCGAAACTAAATTTTTGCCTTGATTTTCGAATGATGTTAGCCACAAGTGATCAGTTTTTATTAAATAATATTTAAGTTTATTTTTACTCCGAGAAGTGTTTTATTGTTTCTACCAACCAATTAATTTGTAAAAATCGCACATGTTTGATAAATACAGTAGTTTATATTTATTACTGAAAATGTTTACAAGGAATGTTTTTACTTGCAACTTTTTTGTGCAATCTGAAAAATGATATTCTATAAGATTCTTATTCCAAAGAATAGGAAAGAAATAAAGCATAATTATTTAAAAACAAGGATTTCGTATCGACAAAGATGAATTACTGTTGTATTATCTTTAAGATTTTGTATCATCTAAAAGAAAATATTGTTTGGTTTGCGCCGTAACAAACAATAAAACACCGCCGCAATGGATATTATAAATAGTTGTGTATTCTTGTAATGTGCATGGTAATTAGTACGAATTGTGTTGAAAGAATTTTCTTTAGGTGAAATGTAATAGTTTTAATTACATAAATGTTAAATTTTTGACATCAATAACATAAAAAACTTTGTTCAAGAAATTATAAATTATGCAGAAATATTTTTCAATGTAACGACCCTGCTGTGTAGAAGTTCTACTGAGTATTTTAAGTTCTAAAAAAAAACTTTTACAGCTTTAAACTGTAGGGTTGTTAAAATTAAAAATATATTTTAAAATGTAATTAAAAAAACTTTGTATGACAGCATTTTATGTTCCTTTAAAATGATTAAAGAGACTCCTAAGAATAATAACTATAAGTCATTGTCATTTTTTTATAATATATATTTAAGTCATAACAATTAAAAATAATAATTTTTTAACGAAAATTTATAATTAATGTACATAATAGTAGAACAGAAATTTTTAATAGCAAAACATTTTTTGTGTTTTAACGAAATTCATTAAATCATCAAATAAACTCATGACGTTATAATTAATTTTTATTAATAGCAGTATTTTTAGGACTCAATACTTTTCGCGACTATTCACAGTTTTTTTTTTTTTATTTAAATTTGGATTTAAAACTCTTGATGGAGTTTTTAATTTGTATTCGGGATTGATAAAAATATTGCTCAAAACTTTATATGCATTTTAAATAGATTGTCGATTTTTACCAGGCCATCACAGTAACGTTGTCAAATAAACTAATTAAAACTACTCTCAGATACAACTACTCTAAGAAATTTATTAAACCAAAAGCGCAACTCAACATTAATGACTTTTAGTTGAACGGCTGTAATGTATGTTTCACAATCTTCCAGGCACGTTTTCGTGTCATAACATTTAACTTTGCTACTTATAATATTCAGTTAAGTATAATATGAAGAGTTC